CCATACAGAACGACTACGGCCGAGAGGCCGGGAGACCCATACAGAACGACTACGGCCGAGAGGCCGGGAGACCCATACAGAACGACTACGGCCGAGAGGCCGGGAGACCCATACAGAACGACTATGCCTCTGCGTATTCTGCAGGTGATGCTCTGTTAGAGCAGAAACAGCTGCCAGACCAGGCAAATGCATCAGAGTTGAAACATGGGTAGCATAGAAGAGTGACTGGTGTAAACGTGAGCAGTAGTAACAGGACCACGCTCCAATACTCACAGGGCTGAGTAAGAGGGTCTGAAAGAGCTCCCCGCCCCGGATGCTGCGGTCCAGCTCCTGGGGGCCCCCGGGGTACTCGCTGTAGAAGATGGTGTGAGTGAAGAGGCCACACGTCTGTCTAGGCAGCACCTGTCATGCGTGACACACGCCTGTCACACACATGTGAATCATGCCAATTTCACAGTTACTCTGTTCACTGCATCATGTATGAAATCAGACTCATAAAGGCTGTTTATTTGCCATTTGCTGAAGCGCACAGGGATCCAGCCTCGCTCTTCTTTGAGACACACACTTACGGGTGAAGGCTGGGGTCCGAGCGCAGGTCAGCCATTTACCCATCACCCCCAGAGCATTTTTGGAGAGGTGGGGTAAGGGCCATACTGAAGGCCCTGACAGTGCTGTGACCATTGTGAGAACCGGCGACCTCCCGGTCGCAGGCACAGAGGCCCACCACAGCGGGGGTGCGTACCTTAATGCCGGCGTGCACGAAGCCACGGCGATAGTGTGCAGGCCGCAGGTGGGGGTACTCCTCCGTGCTGGAGACGCGGATCCCCCACACGGCCCTCCAGGCCTCGTACAGCTGTCCGTGCACAGGATAGACGCCGGAGTGGTGTGGGCTCACGGCGTATCCCATGTCTATGGGGATCCCGTGCTCCTGGGGAGGGGGGGGGGCGATGCTGCCATTGAATATGGTCCTTAACCCTAACCCTTACGGTCTAAAACATCTCATACCGGGTTTACAAAACGTTTCATGGAACCGTTGCTTCATTTGCCATTTGTACAAGAATGAAGTTCTTTGCAATGTCTTAGTTCTCTCCTGTCCTCCTATACAGCTTGGGATACAACACCCCAGAGGAACTTTCTCAGGGGGGTGGGGGGGGTGTAAAGGGCCCAAGAGAGATGTGGGTACTGTGGGATTCAAACCAGCAACCTTCCAATCCCAGGCACAGAGGCCTAGCCCACTGAGCCACACGCTGCTACCCCCCCTGAAAGGTCGAGCTGTGGTCCTGAGCACACAGCTGGGGGGAGGGGGGGTTACCTGCGCAAAAAGCTTGTTGAGGAGCATCTGCTCAGCCAGAACGCTGACGTTGTGGAAGAGATGCGGTTGCATGTGGCTCCACATGTGGGGAAACCACCAGAACTGCTGCCTATGCATCAGGAGCATGTCGTCCCCCCGGTCCTCCTCCTCCGTTCCTGTAGGAGGGCAGAGGTCTAGCTCACACTCCCTCCTCCAATCAGAGGACGTACCTTCCAGCGTGAACGGGCCAATGGGAGTAACGCAAAAGGCCCGGCTCACTAAGGTACTGAAACAGCCAATGAAATTAGGTGCAGTAACTAAGCACCTCAGTGTGAATGTGTGCACTGTACATCATGGCCACCCAGGCAGAAGAACACCTCCGTTTACGATCCAGAGCTTACCAGTATGGTAGAACTTTCCAGAGAAGCCCAGATTGAAGGTGAAATTGGGGACCAAATTACGTAGCTTGTTTTGGGTGCTGAGCAGGGCCTGGGAATCAGGTGGCAAAAGAAATACCCACTGTGAAATACCCACTGTGAAATACCCACTGTGAAATACCCACTGTGAACTGTTACTCACACAGTTGTAACTTGCGTGTGCATTTGTTTGCAATTCCAAGTACATTTCTTAGTGTGTGTTTGAGTGTGAGTTTATCTATTTATTCTCATTGTCTGTATACTTACCATATATACTGTTTGTGCTCCCTAGTATATAACTCTGTATGAGTGCTTGTGTGTCTGTGTGTTTGTGTGTGTTTGTGTGTGTGTGTGTATCTGTGTGTGTCTGTGTGTATTTTTGTGTGTGTCTATCTGTGTATGTTTTTGTGTGTGTGTGTGTGTGTGTGTGTGTGTGTGTATTTCTGTGTGACTCAGACTGGACTTGGGACAGTCATCAGATTAATCACTGAGGTGCTGTGATGGGTATTAACAGCTCCTCAGGTAAAAGTGAGCCCGCTCTGAGATCTTGCAAGAGATCAACATGATAAAACCTAAGATGGACTGAAGCTGGTGAATTGTTACAGTGGTTGGGGGCTGGGGGGTGGGGGGCAGGCTTTAGGGAGGTTTGGGGTGTTGAGAAAATAGTAAAATAACTGAGTGCTCATGTTCTGCTACAGAGAGGTCGACAATTTCACAACAATAACTTGGGTCTAGTCTGTTAACCCCAACCTTTTTCTACAAGAACACGTTTAACATAACTGACAGATCGAGTTACAGATGGGAGACACACTTTTTAGAACTCACCTCAACATCCGACACCTTCATGCGGGTTCCTTCCTTTCCAACAAATATATCGTCCACGTCAACCAGCAGGTGGCGCTCCAGCGGCATATCGAGCCGGCCGCCGGTCAGGTAGGCGATGGCGTCCACCAGGATGAGCTTGTGCAGCCAGAAGGAGAGGCCGTTGCCGAAGACAACTCTCTGGATGCCGTCATGAAGGCCCAAGTCCTGAAGCACCGTGGCCTGTGGTGTAGCCTGGGGGGGGGCGCCAGGCAGGCCGGACTCAGCTAGCAGCACCGGCTGATATGTGCTGTGATTGGAGTGGAAGACGACCCAGCCGTCCCCAGGCAGAGGGCCTGACTGCAGGGCGCCAGGCCGGGTAATGCGGAGCAGGGGGGCGGTGGGGCAGACGAAGCAGTCCCTCAAGCCGCGGCCCGGAAGCAGGACAAGAGGAAAGCCCCGGAGCTGGGGGTCAGGCGGCAAGCTTCCTGCAGTGCGGAGGAAGCCCACAACACCAACACCGAACTGAGCACAGTACCTGTCCAGCAGTTCCCGGTTCCAGGCATCCAGGCCGACATACTGGAAGAGGTTCTCGAAGATTATGAGGGTGTAGCGGCCCCGGTCCCGGCTTGCCAACACGGGCATGGCGCCCTTCCCGGGAGCCGCCTCCACATGGTGCCGGAAGCGGCCGGACTCTAAAATAGCCACGATCTCCTGGCCGAGCTGGGAGTAGACGCTGTCTACAAAAAGCAGCACCACAGGGTCTGTACGCGGCTGAGCTGGGAAGCTGAGCCCAGTGCGGCGGACGGCAGGATCCTGCTGCGGGGTGTGCGGGAGACCTGCGGGGGAAGTGGCCGTCCGGCACTCAACCGCGGGCAGGGGGGGCGGGGCCTGCCTGATTCTGGGTCCGCTGCTGACATAGTACGCCAGAAGGGCCATGGAGAGCAGGCAGAAGACTAAGAGCGCCAGGATGAGGAGACGCAGCTGTGGACACCTGCGGCGACACGCCGATTTCCACACGCCTGCCATGTCCGCCAGAAGGGAGCGGCAGACGCAGCGAAGGCTGAGGATCGGACCGCGGAGCCGGACCTGAAGGGGATGGCGGCGGACAGCGGTACCGAGTTCTGCTGGTGGGCAGCCATGGACACTATGTCACCATGACCGCAACAGCCTGCAGTGCGCGTGGCTGCTCCTCTCACGCTCCATCCAGCTGTCGTCCTGCTTCCGGTATATATTTCCCTGTCTGTCCCTCCCCGCGGGTGTCAGTCCTCCCCCGCTTCCCAGTGCTAAGTGGATTCCCACCTGTCCTCCACCACTCCACCGTCTTCCTGAGTCACTCTCTCTCTCTCTCTCTCTCTCTCTCTCACTCACACTCCATCAACTCCAACATTCAAATGTTCATTTTGGTGAGCGGCCTTCGAAGTTCCGCTCTCTCTCCATCCTCAGCTCTCCACCCATGGGGGAATTTCTGCAGTCGCCATCAATGACAGCTCTTACACCTAAGGAAGATGGAGGGGTGGGAATCGATGGTCACTGCGCTGTAGATCGTCCACTTGCTACAGTCATAACCCACTAGCAGTACATTACAATGTCATGCAAATGCAGCAGGGAATCACCAAATGGTTAAAATTAGAAACAGGGACAGTAGCCAATAAAAACACTCATCAGCAGAACCTTCCAGCAGGACTGGAGTTACTGGAGTCCATTCCATGTGACTGGTCACTTGTGACTCGACTGTGCCGTCGTAAATATCGGTTACTCTTAAATCCATGAATCTCTGACATTCAGCACCCTGGTGAGACAGACCGGCGATGCTTTGCTCTTTGTCCGTAGATGGTGAGCAGTAAACCGATGTCACAGTGATTATTAAATTATTCAAAAGTCACGAGGGTGCTGGGATTTCTCTCCGTCGTCGGTGAGCACACACTCATGTGGAAGGTTGGGTTATTATTGTCGCGTCTCAAACCACCTTCGGCCTTTTCAGCAGAGGACAGGAAGTCGACGAAAGACGGGTCGCACTTCTTGTGGAACTCGTGCTGCCAAGCGATGACATAAGGACCAGTACAGAACCAGCCTTTAATGGTGTCCTTCTGATTTTCCCCATTAGTTCCCCCCCCCCCAACCCTCTCTATCTTGAGAATCCTGCTAACTGTTTCCCAGAGGTCCTAAAATAGCCCCCACCCTCCCCGTCCCACCTTCCTGCTTTAGGATAACCTTACAGGTATGACTGGAAAAAGCCGGCTAGCCTCTCGTTTGTCAGGGCAGTTACTTTGGATGACTTGACAAGTCAAAGTAAATCATCAAAAATTTTCAGCGGCTCCAGTCGCTCTCATGAGAGACATTGGCACCATCTTCCACTTCTGCTACGAGAGTTGAGTTGTTAGCTCTCCCACCGCCCTGGGTGGGGTTACGCCACATCCAGTGTTAACCCAACGCAGTGGTAGTGGGCCCGGCCCAGACTGGAGGTGCTGATCACATTTAATTACCCAGCCGTGACCCACTAAGCGGAGGGAGGAGCTCAGCATTGAGGTCAGCATGTAGGCAGTAAAAATAGCTGCGTGTTATGAGAAAGGGCAGCTCCCATAATGCCATGCGGGAGTAACTCAGCTGAGGCCTGCTGCTTGGACATCAGTGCATAAAAACACACGCGCACACACACACACACACACACCCGCACACGCGCACACACACACACACACACAGACACACCCACACACACCCACACCCGCACACAGACACACACACACCCAGACACACACACACACAGACACACCTGAGACCACAGAATCCCCAAACAACTACAAGAATTAATATTTGTGGTGATTCCAAGCCCGGCCTCCGCCAGCTGCTTCGGGGAGCACAAACGCTCTCCCACTGTCTGCCCGTCACTCGCCAGGCGGCCAGATCGAATGAAAGTATTGTGAATATTTTTAACATAAGGCTGCTGTTTTACCCGTGAACAGCTGGACAAACAAGTACAAAACCATGAAGTATTCTCGTCCCTGGATGAGTGTGCCACACGACTGCAGATTCAGGGTGCGGATATGCTCTACTTTCTGTTTGTTAGAAGCACATTGCATTTTATGGAGTGTTTAAAGAGCTGGTTCCCCCAAAAAGGTACAACAGAGCTATTTATATCCAGCAAAGGATCCCAGATCCAGGTCATTAACACTCACTGACACCTGTAGGCACAGATAAGCCAGGAGCAGGTCAGTGTGAGCCAGACATCGACTGAGTTTCATTACACGTCAAACTCCTGCATTTCCTGCCGTCTGCAAACGGAGGATCCAGAAACATATCCAAGCATGTAAGAAAGTATAAATCAGATTTATGCACAAGACATACATTTAATATTAGAAGTAATATAATCATGTGCAAAAACCTAACTACAATAACAAAAGAGAACTGACTGGGACAGAGACAGAGACATAGAGACAGAGACCAGGACAGAGACAGACAGAGACATGGACAGCTGTCGTACTTTTCAAACCAACCAGAGTAAAAACAAAATGCATAGTACAGCTACTACCAAATATTATGAATAATTTGTTTGGAGGCTTTTACTGAAATATGGCAGATATCTGAAGAAGTGCCATGTGCAATACCTTGTGTCTGACATCTGGTGGCACCACATAGCCAGAAATGCAACATCGCTCAAACAATGTCCAAGCAGACCTGCACAGATGTCAAGGGCACCGGGATAACCTGCAAAGTTAACCTCTATCACAGCGACTGGGATAACCTGCGAAATTAACCTCCATCACTGGCACCGGGATAATATGTAAAATTAACCTCTATCACTGCCACCGGGATACCCTGCAAAGTTAACCTCTAATTCTTAATTCTTATGCCTTGAATTAAAGAAAAGTTAGCACTGCCAAATCTTTACCAAAAAAATGATAAACAGCAAAAATTCTTAAAAAATTCTCATAGTATTTGGATTTAAGAATTTGATGGGTTTCTTGGAAATAAATCATTTATTCTTGTTAGAACAGAACTAATCCAGTGTGTTCTACAAGTTCTCATATTTTAGATGGTGACCTTATTCCCATTCATTCCAGCATGATCAAATCTGTCAAAAACATCAAATACCGTCTTAAAGTGCACTGAGATTTCCTCCTCTGCAAGTCTGCCTTTAAATGTTAGGGAATCGGCTTATGAAGTTCACAGCTTCTCAGCTTTTGATGTACAGGGACAGCTCCCAGAGATAAACTGCACAAGCTTACTTACTGAAGTTGGTGAATAGAGCGTCCATACATCGGTAGCAAAATGAGCAAGATGTCAAGACATGACAGCAAAGAAAATTTAAACACACTGAGTTTCTAACAGCAGCCGCTTGGCACTGACACGGACTTTGAAGCTGGAAATCGCTAAAATACAGGCGTACGTCCCCTCGATCAAATAAACAAACATTTAATACTTTGAAATCAGTGCACTGTTGTCAGGTCATGAGGGGAGGGTTAGCATGTTCAAAGTCTGCGCCTGAGAGAGTTCTGGGGTCTTCAGGTGCCTAATAATTGCGTCTTACCTAAATAGTATCCAGATGTACTCTGCATCTTCTGTTTGCGTTCATCATATAAATGTGTCTGTGGTGGTGTGTCAAAATGCAATTTGTACAATTTTTGTGATTTGCGGCCTGTGATGCTACACAGCTGGGGCCAACAGATAAACCCCCTTAATCAGGTCCAGAACCGGACCAATCAAACAGGTACATGACTGGATTGTACAATAACGAGAAGCTAAAATATACTGGCTCTTATTCAGTTACATCTTGAGAAGTTCAGCAGCTGTTACAATGAATAATGTGTTTGACAGGTTGTTGACTTGTGAAGGACTTAAACAGGCGACCGCCTGCTCTATGGCTACGTTTTGCCCCCACGTTGCGCAGTCCAGTGCTCTGTCCCAAAATTACACACGCAACCAACTCTCCACTATAAACATCCTCCCCCAGGAGAATCACGGACAGCCGATTCACATTCTAGCAGCCTCTGCACCCCGCAGCCTCGTGTCAGCAAAGATAAACAGGACCCATGAGTTCCCTGTGAGGCAGGGTACTGAGCTACATCAGCAAATACCTTTAATGACCATGACGTTATATAAATATGCTGCCGTATCCCAGGTTCGAGAGGCCTGCCCAGGCTGAGCTCTCCCTCCCCCATGTAAGGTTTAGACTGGGGAGGCTTTGAGGCCCCATCATTAACACAACAGACTGAGGACTTGTCAAAGTCGCCCAGCAGGCACCCTGAATGAGTGTCCTGGATAAAACACAGAATGGGAACATCTACCGCAGACAAGGCCTGTGCTGAGGCTCCCTGACCTGTTAGCACTTAGCCCACAGAAGTCAGGTCTGCGCTGAGGCTCCCTGACCTGTTAGCACTTAGCCCACAGAAGTCAGGCCTGCGCTGAGGCTCCCTGACCTGTTAGCACTTAGCCCACAGAAGTCAGGCCTGCGCTGAGGCTCCCTGACCTGTTAGCACTTAGCCCACAGAAGTCAGTCTGGTCTACCTTTGCCAGTCTGGAGAGCAGTGATGTCATCCACCAGCCTGTGGCCAACATATACTCGTGTCCAGCAATACCAAGGAATTCTGTACACAAAGCATCAACCATGCTTACATTTCGCAGACATTTCCAGTATCAGAGGGAAGCGGAGCCTTGTTTGGTTTTGTTTCACATACTGTGTGTACAGACAGCAGCAGGAACCTTCAGGAGTTCCTTACATTCTGGAAATACCTGCAAAATTTCCTAGAAAAAAAGCAGAACTTCCCTGTTAGCACAGTAACACAACACCTGTAACCATTCTTAGACACATCAAGATACAAAAGGACTGCATTAAATATTAAACATTCATGCTTCTGAGAGCCATTATAGGGCAGAGTGATGCTGTAGGTAGTACTGATGACTCTGGGTCTCCACCCCAGCTCTCAGTGTGTGCAGCTTGGATGTTCTCCCCGTGCCGTCGTGGGGTTTCCGCTGGGTTCTCCAGTGTCCCCCCCCAACAGTCTAAAAACATGCTATGATGAACCAGAGTTACCAAGCTGTTTGTAAGTGTGTGTGTGGGCGTAGGCCTTGTGGGGGCGCTGCAGCATCACACTGACCAGTGGATGAGTATATTCAATCATGCAGCAATGAATCAGCTTTTTTCAAAAAGCAGAAGACATAAGCAAGAGAAGAAATGACCAAGACTGAAGAAGTGGAAAAACATTTTTTATATATAAATGCAAAAGCAGTTTGATGTATTAAATATTGTGACTGGATTTAAGATGCAGAGCTGGAGCTGAGAGGTGCCTTCTGGATGCTTTTAAATGTGTGTGTGTGTGTGTGTGTATGTGTGTGAGTCCGTGTGTGTGTGTGTGTGTGTGTCTCCGTGTGTGTGTGTGTGTGTGTGTGCCTGCAATCCTCTGATGCGTCTCGGCGAAGGGAGGTAAAAAAAAATCTATATATTCTGGAAAAATCTACATATATATAAAATTTGATGCACAGCGGGTGGGGTTGGGGGGAGGGTTGCACTTGTTCTGTGAGTTGAGTGCAATGACGCAGTGTTCACAGGAAGCTTACTTAATTCTGTAATGATGTTGCAAATTTACTGGTTTCCTAACAAAAGTCCATTGACCAGCAATGTTTAATGTATCTGCACGTCTTCCACACAGACATGTTCTTTTTAATTGTCATATTTTTTTGACTGACTGATTCAGTTCTGTTCTTGCCATTTTGCTATTAATTGCAATTATAGTCACTGGCTCCCAAAGGGACAGTAAACACAAATGTCTGACGTTTGATGTTATTGGGAAGCGGTTACTAATTACAAAGCACCCAATTGTGCTGCTTGTCAATGAAGCTTTTAGCTCTTTCTAAATGTAATACATTTTTGTAAACGAATGAAGTAATGATTTTTGTTTTAAAACCAATAAATTAATACATTTACTCAATGAGCTACAGGAATGAGGTGAAGCAACTAGCCATGTGGTGCAGCAACAAAAAGGAGATCGTCACGGACTGCAGGAGGTCGCACATCCAACACCCCCCCCCCGTCTGCGGGAGACCCCACCCACCCCTCTTACAGCCTCGTCAGTCTCCTGCCATCTGGGAGGAGGTACCGGAGCCTCTGCACCTGCTCCACCAGACTGAGGAATAGTTTCATCCACCAAACTATCAGGATGCTGAACATTTTCCCCTGTCTCCCCCCTCTCCCCAGTGCCCCCCTAAAGTCTGCACTGAAACACCCTCCCACCATTATCCAGCATTAGCCACTGTACTTACTTTGCTTACTTACCGACAACAAAAACTGTAAAACTAAAAACGGCTGATGTCTACATTTGCAAATCTACCATATTTGCACTGCCTTATGTCTTTTGCACAAAGTATTTAACATAGGAATACTTGTATCTGTCCTGTGTGTTTCTCTTGCTTGTCAGTGTACTCACTCATCATTTGAATCCTCCATGTGTCCTGTACATATGGCAGAATTGACAATAAAGACTCACGTGACTCGGGTTTTACTGAGATAAACTGCGGCTGTCAAATAAAATTTTGGATTTTATTTTGCACACACATGCATGCAATAGTTTTATTACCGTGTAAATAGTTTTTAGGCTTTGTAAACTACCCCAAAGCTTTTGATGTAGCTAATTTTTGGTTTACAATGGAATAATACAGATGTGCCGTAAGAATTCTTGCGTGAGCGTGAGAGGGTCGCGACAGAGGGGTGAGAGATGGCAGCCCTGAAAATGGACGTGTTTTGTTTCACCTGAGTTGATTTGTATTAAAATAACTTTATACTGCTGTTAAATAACGTAAACTTTGAAGTCACAAATAAACTTTCTCTATATTTATCCAACATTTTATAAAATTCTTTGCATGAAGGCTGCGGCGCATATATAGCGAGAATGTTTTATTTGTTTGTTTTAATTTGCTACAATATTTCTGTAACCGGGCTGTTTTTGTTTAATGTGTATAAACACACAAAATCTGTTTATTTTGAATTTGTTAATTTGCTTTCGCCACACCCCGTTAGAGTGTAACAGAAAAATCACACAACGCAGATAAACCGGCTACATACAGGCTACTATATAAAGATAAATATTCAGATTACAACTGAAACTTTGAAGAAAATAAAACAAATTGTTTCTTATAAATAGGGTGCTGTATAATTAGGCTGTAGACTTCCTGCCGTGTAACAGGTGTTATGCCGAAAAAGGCATCCCTGCCGTAGAATGCATGCCTGTCTCTAAATGACCGATTGGTCGCTGATCTGAAACGAGTTGAGCCACTTTGTCGAGTAAGGCTACCGTAGTGCTAATCAATAGCCCCAAAAAACCCGTAGAACTGTAACTCTAACCCCCAAAACCCCCCTAAAACCCTAACACCCCTAAAACCCTAACCCCCAAAACACCCCTAAAACCCTAACCCTGACCCCCAAAAAACCCTTAAAAGCTCAACTCGTCGGAACACCTGTATGCATTCTAAGGCAGGGATGCCTTTTTCGGCAAAACACCTGTATAGTCGCACCGGTAATGACTGTGACACCGGTGTACCGGCCACCCCCACGTCAAAGCGACGCAAATATGCGGACAGAAAGTAACCTGACTGTAGAAAACAAATGTTAACATGAAACTAGGCGAAACCCACGGGTATTTCGATACCAAAAAAGAGGTCAAGTCCGGGAAAAGGGCCGTATGGTCACCATACAAACACTTGCCGGGTTTACGGCAGTCTGGTCTAAATATAAGTGAAGGAAGATAAAGTCCATTTAAACTGGAGAACCTTAAATCCCACAAGTTATCCGGCCAAGCAAGACATTTGGCTGCGTGATGGAGATCCTCGGAAGAGCATGTGAGAATATCTAGCTGGCGGCATAGAGATAAAGTGCATCGTCTGTTTGCGATGGGTGGTTTTAATATCATTACCAATATTGCACAATTACTGTGTTTGTTTTTATTTGGGTAACCGGAGGCCGGCTATTTCCACAATGAAGGGTCTCATGGAAACAAGACGGTAAGATGCGTGTCATAGGCCTACTCAAAATCCCCCTTAAAGAAATAATAATTAATCCCCAGATGTACAGTAACTTAAAGTGGATTTTCAAAATTCGATATAAAACTGAGGTTTATAATTTCAAAATGTACCCGACTTCCACTTTGCGCGGTACCCAGTAAAGCCGAAGCCGCCGAAGGAGCCGCATCCAGCCGGCCAGTGACTCCGCTTTCCGCCCCTTATGAGCGCTGCTTGCCGTTCAGCACAAAGGGAAACCGGCCACCGGCTCCAGGCTAAATAACTAATAAACCACATTTACTCGCGTTGTCCAGCCGCCTGTCCACGGAGCGGCAGCATCCCTCCCGATCTGCGAGTCCTGCGGGTCCGGCTGCGCGGTCCCTGCTGCCGCCGCTTTCCGCCTTTCAGTCACCGCAGCCAGGAATAAGCATTAAAAGGGGAAAAGGCAGCACTCACTCAGCACACAGGCGGTGGACGCGTCTCCCCGGCACCGGGACTCCCGAGCGGCTCCGCCACCTTCGACCGGCGGGCGGACGCGCTGCTTTTCTGCCGGGAGGAGTGACGGAAACCCGGCGCAGCGGGGGCAGAGCGCCGCCCGGGCCCTACGATTCCTGCCTTAGCCGATGCTGCAATAATGACATTAAATATCAATGATTTCACACCACAATTCACAGTTTACTGAACATGGTTTACTGATCTTTGGCATGTTTAGGCATCAATTGCTGCACTTAAGATCTGTTTATAAAGGGGAATTGCAAAATATTTCCTGTAATAATTTATGGAATTGCAGGTACGGTATTCCTGTAACTATAGGCAAGGTTTTCTATATGTAAATATTTAGCACATTTTACTTACCGGCCTAATTGAAAACCTGGATCACCGGCTAGCCAGTTTATTACGTACTATTTTAGACGCTTTCACTTTCTTATAAGATTTGTTCCTTGAACATTTGGCCATTATATTGAACATTTTGATCTGACAATTTTTTTGACGCCCTACCTACAGTGATACAGTGCATAACACTGTACCTACAGTTATACAGTGCTCCGTATTTCTGTACCTACGAGCACTTGTTACTCATTTACTAACAAACCGCTGGAAGGGAAAATAATTTAAAGAGATATTAGGTGTCATCTAGCGGTCAATTTAAAACAGTAATTTGAAGATGCATCCATTTGCTCTGTTTCTCTGTGAAGAGGTACACTTATAAGTAAGGACGTCAAGTTAGTAACTGATGTTTGTTATGAAACTTTTGAATACGGTTTTAGAGAAATAAATCACATGCAAATGTGTCAGTATATTACAAATCTTAAGACGTCTTGCACTGTATTCTGTTAATCTGTGTAGGCCTATTCTTAATTGCCTTTCTATTTTATCCCCACAGTGTTCTTTGACGTGTTCCCTTATATGTCTTGCGATTTTTATCCAGTTCTTCATGCTTGGCACTAGACCACAAACAATCCTGATATGTTCACACATACTTCAATGGAGTGACTTGAGTGTGATCCGACAAACGCTTAACTTGACTTATGACATTGGTGAGTAACACACACTTCTACCCTCAAGACTGTACGTTTAGTCCCCTTTAGAGGTCCTGCACTAGTACCCTAGTGTGTGATACAAAATGATCTAGTTAAGGTAACTAAAATTTTTAAGGTGCTTTGGATAAAAAAGAAAAAGCTAAGAAACTGAAATTCGTTTGAATTTACACAGTTCGATTTCCATGGTATCGAGTCTCTTTGAATTTGACTGATTCCTTTGGAGTTTTCAACGTTCCATCTTTGTCAGAAACCCGAGTTTCCAGTTTTTCTCTTCATGTCTGAAGCAATTGAAACAGGACAAATACCACATGTACGTAAGAGGCCAATTTTCTAGCTGTGAAAAAGACGTGGATTTTGCCACAGTAAAGGATGATCTCACGCATGCTTAGACAACAGTCATTCCAGAGCTGGATCAATGAGCCTCTATTCTATTACAGCAAAGCTTTGCAAAGACAAGCAGGAGTAACTTTATTGAGAGTTTCTCTCACAAAGGGACACTAGAAGCATTTGTACAAAGCCACTGAGGGGCAAATGGCAGCACAAGCACAATGACTATGAAGGCCAGTAGGGGGCGCACTACGCATGGCATGCAGCAGGCATCGGGGCTCCCTCAAACAAAGCGTCTCTCTTGGAGGAGTTGAAGGTTCTGTGTAGCCAGAGGTTTCAGGATGGAGGAGATGGGTCAGAATAATGATCCATGGGGAGACCAACAGGTGCTCTGGCAAGCAGAGGAGCAGAGCGGCTCACAATCTTCTGGCACGAAGCGCCGTCCGTTTCCTGAATTCCCCATTCAGCATGACTCATGAGCAACAGCAGGAACAAGAGGACAACAGCAAGGCAGCAATGAGCAAATCTCGTTCTGAAGTTCCAGAGATGTAAGGAGAGACCTGGGTCTTTCTGCAAAGGTGTTTCCTGTCACCCAGTATCACCCTAAAGGTGATAATCACCATCCAGCCTCCTTCGAGCCCCTGTACTGCACCCTTAGCCATAATCCTGACCTCCTTAGTTCAAATCTCAGTGTATGAACATAGCTCCCCCCCCCCCGCTCGCAACAGCCCTACAGCTCCTGGTATATAAGATGTCACTCGTCCCCAGAAACACAACAACAGGTGATTACTTTTACACCAGTAAGTAGTAATTCCTAAATAAATAGAAGCCCTTCCCAAAACACCCGCTCTCTAATCAGACAGAAAAACACGTATCACAAAATTATATAACATTAAATAGAAAAGGGAGAGTAAGTAAGAAGACACAACACCTGCAAAGTGTATAAACAAAATCATTTAAGAAACAGCGCTGTCCTGTCGTCTACCATTTGTAATTATAGACTGTAGTATAGATTACACTCTTTCTGCTCAGGCAACAAGATAAGCATGAACATTGTACTATTTTAAAACCTTTTGTTGGGATGATGATACAATATAATGCACAAACTTAATCAAACTAAACTGTCTACACTAAATTAGACAGTAAATTTCCCGTCAAACACAAAGATTATACTGCCACCTGCTGGGGGTTCACATTTGTATGTGTTAATTATTCTAGGAAAGTAGAAAAAAAAACAATTAAACTGCCTTTGCATTCTAACGATATTATCAGTTTGGTTGTGAAGCACGAATCACTTTCCACATAACATTAATATGAACTATGAAAATGCAAGTTAATTAAACATGGAAATCAGTTACAAAACTATTTGAAAATGAGTACACTCACTGATGGTTTTAGATAAAGTACCACCTAGATTTAAGAACTGATGTAGCTCAAATGTAGCTCTATTTGAACTGGATAAATGAATGGCTAATTCAGGTGGGTTATCTATAATACACTTTTGTGCAAGCAAAGGTTTTATTTTTGGAAAAATCAGACGATTAATGGCTTTAGACGAGAAAAAATCAGCCTGAACCCTCACAGGCCATTGCTGACTTTTAGGCTAATTCTGTACCACAAGCAGGACCCCCTCGCTGATGCACGACGCCCAGGACCCACAGGACGCGTCTCTCGGGGACAGGGGCAGGAACGCGTGTCTCGGAGCTGTCGCCAGGTGGTCTGCCTTCTCTGGGAGGTGGGGTCTGCACTCCTCTCAAGCTGGTCATTGGAAGGGCAGTGAAGGTCTCAAAAGATCAGCTCTGGCCATTGGCTGTGAGTGTGTCACATGACCGACCATGTGGAGGCGTGTCCTCCGGTGGGGGAAAGGTTAGGACATTGTAATGTCAGCCGCCTAGTTAGAGGTCAGAAGGACTGAAGGGGGTTTGGGGCGAGGATTCCACCCCGGCGCCATCTTTGCAGCCCATATTATAGACTCTGCGTCTTTGTAGTGATTCACAATTGACTCCACTATTGATTTTGGACCTTCCCCAAAAATAAACCGGAATGTTCCGCGTGTAGGCCTGAGTGAATAATCTAAAGGGGCGGGCGTCAGACGTTATCGATCTCAGGCCTGAGTGAGTTCCCAGGTGCCTGAAAAGCAGACGGCGTGGAGGTGGGGGAGGTCGGGGGGGGGGCACCCACAACCGGGGAGAAACCGGGGCGAGGCAGAAACGTCATAAAACACATGCACAAGACACGAGAAGAGGTTTCTACAAGCGCGCCAAACCAGTTACTGGCTTTTCCTCACAGGGACGGCCACGGCTCAGTACCACCTGCCCTCAGTTGGGGACGTCTGGGGGGGGGGCACCATTAAAGTATCTGCTGCAGCCATCAAAGCATCAGATCTCAGCTGGCAGATGGCAGATTCATGTAGAGAGGCAGACATTTCATTCTGCTGTTTTACTAAATGCCGACCTGTGTTAGCAAGTGCAAACTATTTTATCTGTTATAACCAAGCAAAGATCATTTGGCTGACAGGTTCATAGACACTGTGTCATGTTACGTCCACCTGCTGTGTGACCTTCTGCTCCTGGGGACATGTAGGCCTAATCATGCTTATTTCTCAACATCAATACTAATATTACAGGCTGTTTTTGCGGCCGAATTGATTTGTCCTGCAATGGGATGGAATTAGCGAGATAGAGATTGTCTGGCCCGGTCAGTAGAGACCAGGCGGCCAAGCCTGAGAGCAAACGCTAAGAGCAGCCCCGCAAGCCCCTCCCTACAGCCCTCTGCCCAATCACAGAGTCCCACAGAGTCACATGACCCAGCACCTGCCACACTCAGATCTCTGCAGGGTGGCCTGTGACCTGCTCGATCCAGTGCAGGAAGCGGGCCACAGGTGTGTACACCCCCGGAAAGACTGGATCGGCGCAGCCGCGGCCCCAAGAGACAACCCCCGTGAGAATCCAGCGCCCGCCTTCGCCGTGGCACACCAGGGGTCCGCCGTCGTCGGCGTGGCATGCCTCCGCCCGCCGGCCGGCTGGCAGGCTGCCCACACATAGCATGCGGCTGGAGTAACGGTCGCCATAGCGATCCTTGCACTTCCAAGCTGGCAGGAGCGGTGCCCAAGACTGGAGGGCACTGCTGGGGCGTCCCGAGTCTGACGGAAGGAGAAGACAGAGAGGAACTGGACTGATGCATCCGCTTAACCGGACCAGCAAAAATACACGGGGACTGGGAGCCATGGAGGGGTCAAAAGGCCACAAGGGAGAAAAGATAAACAGCGACACAACTGCCAATTACGGCGCCCCCTGCAGGCACAGGGAATGAATATATAACATAACAAGGGAATGAATATTTAACAGTACAATCTCTGTTTAGAATGCTTAACAGCTTCTCTTCCAACCATCATGCTCATTGTTATAAACACTTTTGTAACATTAATATTGGACATTTATTGTGTGAATTAAAAAAAATCGACATTCGAGAGATTGAGGGAGGTCACTGGAGAAAGGGGTGAGAGAGAAACAGGGGATGAGGATGAGGAAAGAGTGAAAAACAGAAGAGAGAAATAATGAGCAGTGGAGAGAAAAGAGGGAGAGGGAAGTGCAGGGTGGAAGAGGAATGGAGGGGTGTTGGATATGCGGCCTGGCCTGGAAAAGGGAGAGACTGAAAGGCAGACCTGAGGCAGGCCGGCCCGTGATGATGCAGACGTCCGGCCGCTGGTGCCTGGCCTCCATCCAGGTGGCGGGGAGGCAGGCCGCGTTCCTGCGCAGGTCGAACGTCACGCATCTGCCCTCCGCCCCCGGCAGCTTCAGGAGGGCGATGTCATACTCCCAGCCCTGTGCGGGGGCGCTCCGGTACTTCTCGTGGATGATGATGCGCTCAGGGGTCAGGCTGCGGGCCCTGGGACCGAGGCCACCCAGCTGCATCAGGTAGCTGGAGGGATCCCTGCCAAACCTGCCCAGGTGGCAGCAACACTAGCCAGGTTAGCAAGCATCAGGCACCAGGCTGCAGGGAATCACCATGACAACAGGGGACAGGGGTATATACACACTGTCCCACCAGAGTCATGGCACAGGGCATGCATAAAATATTTATTTTAAGAAACAAATAATCTATTAGAACACATTTGATTTAATTAATGTCTTTTGTGCCAGTTATGATTGGTGATCCATTCCTCCCTTAAAGCCTAAAAATACCATTTGTACCCAGGAACCAGTGAGATGTCCCATAAATTTTTAAAAACTCAAGGTACATTTGAAAAACATGCCTTATAATAATTTCTACGCAATTATTGTCAGCGACCAGGATACAGCTGCAGTACTGCTTCTGACCAGCAGGTGTCACCCACCTCTTGAAACAGTGCGCTGCAGTCAGAGCCCAGCAGGGATCTATGAGAGTGGCGATGCAGAGCGGGTGGCCCCCTGTGGGCTGGGACACCGGCCAGAGGGAGACCTGCCAGGGCCACGACTCACTGCAGGAAGGCAGGAGATACTGGGAATTACGTCCACGCCGCAGCAATGTGTGTTAAATGGAGTTTGGCTGTGTTTTCTACCTCAGTGACTCCAGGGATTCCTCCTCTGCCTCGGTCCTCTTCCCACGGTGTAGGATCTGAGGCCTCATGCCACATGACTGTCGGCCCTCCTCAGCACCGACGTCCTCCGTCCCTGGTGTGTGATCGCAGGTCACACCTGGGCCACCGCTCTTGCAGTCGAGGACACCGTGCCCTCTGACGGGGCAGTCCCCCAGCGCGGCCTCTCGTCCCGAGCAGCGCACGCGGCCCCAGCGCACAGCCCTGCTCTCCTCTCTGAAGTACTCCCCAGGGCGGGCCTTGGAGACGCCGCTGCAGTGAGAGAACAGCAGGGGCAAGCTGTAGTAACAGCTGCTGCCTTCACAGCTGGAGAGCAGCAGCATCCAAACCGCAGAGGAGCCCCATCAGCCACGTTACCAGCTTATACTCACCTACCAGCTAATACTCACCTACCAGCTAATACTCACTTACCAGCTAATACTCACCTATCCCTCTTCTCAGCCTAAGCAAAAAATGCAGTTCTTCTTTCTAATGTTCTTCTTTCATCTCAAATTCCTCCTTCTCCATAGCAACAGCAGCAACCCAGCATACCCACCCATCCCCCACCCAGCTTGACAACAAACCCCATTTCAATCCCATTTCAAGCTTGAAAAATTCACTGCACATATAAAAAATTGATAATCCCGCATCTACTGCATCAAACCAGGCAGCTCCTCGGGGGTGGTCATGTCACATCTACAAATCAGTGCGAGTGTCTGCTGTGGATCCTCAACCCAAACTGACCTACGATCCCCCCCACTGGGCCAGACCTCAGCAGCACCATAAATGCTGGATTTATAAGTTCACTGAACTTCATGCAGCATCATGTCCCATGAAAGGTCAACTATGTAATAAATTCAAAAGACGCGACACATTGGCTGACATATCAGCTCCTTAACAATCAAGACATCAGCATTGCTACTATGTGTCAATCTCAGTCAATATTGCTGTCCAATACTTAGACCAGGGTTCCCCAGTCCCGGTCCTGGAGGGCCAGTCCACAACACAGTTTGCAGGTTTCCCTGCTCAGGCACATTGTATTCAGCTCACCAGCCAATAACCAGGTGTAGTAGGTGTGTTTGAGTAGGGAAATCTGCAAACTGTGTCTGGACCGGCCCTCCCGGACCGGAACTGAGCAGTACTAAAAGTTAACAGCACCAGTGATAGACATAACTACTAGAATAATGGAAATTATTGCATTAGACAAACAGCCATTTTCCGTAATGGAGGACAAGGGATTCTGTTCAGTCACCCCCTAACCCTCGCTACAGTCTCCCAAATCTGCGTTACTTCGCTAAAGCCTTATTGCCTGCATTATATGATGTGATCGCTACACACATTCACAAGAAGTAATGTCACCAGCATCAATTTCAATCTACAGATTTGTGGTGCTCAGAGTTTAGCCTCTTTTCTGGATTTATCTGTAGAAAAAATATACCGATCATCAGTCAGAATTTTCACATTGGTGCACCACTACAATAAACACAACACAGCAAATTACATACTGTATGCAGTAATATATGAACATTACACTGAAAGCTGGAGTTTGCTATCTGACGCAAGAATAATGATCTGGTTACCCCCTGGTTCCCGCATCTTTAGCGCCCTCCCCTGGACCGTGAGGTGAACTCATGGGCTTGTAGGGTCACACTCACCCGAACCCCAGCTGCCGGCAGATGACCTGGGCGGTGCGATCGTTCCAGCCGTCTTCACACACAACGCCCCACTGACCGTCCACCAGTACCTCCACACGACCCTCCTTCCGGCTCCTTCCGCCGACCAGGCGGATCAGAGGGCCTGTGACAAATGAGACCCACCTTAGATGATTCAGTGTTCTCTAAGGAACTTTCTGGAACACCTGCCGCGCTTCACGCTTCCATGGCCGGATGGGAACACCAGGCCAAACCTTCCATCCAGTGCCAGACCTCAGCAGCACAGCCCCCCCCCCCACCCCGCAGGCAGTCACTCACTGTCACACACCACATACCTGAGACTGGTGGGCCAGCCGGGATATGATTGGTCTCCGCTCCGTCTTCACAGTGCACCCCCACGTCCTGGGTGTGCTTGCAGTCGTGCCGGCCCCACACACCATGCTCGCAGTCCAGCAGGGAGAGCTCAGTGCCCGTACAGCGCACACCGTCCAGCAGGATCAGGCCCGCACCCTCGCCGAATGTGCCATCTGGGGCCACCTCAGCTCGCCCTCTACAGGTGCACAGCGGTATTACAACAACAGAAGAGCAAAAGGATTCAGATTATCCATAAAAAGTACATTTACTTTTGTTTTTTCTTTACAAATGCATGTCAATTGAAAGAGGACAGTACATGACCTTCCATAAACTTCAAGAAGTGAATCAACTTAAAATGAATAAAAATGATCAAAAAAGAGCTCTCTCACCAGCATATATATATTTCAACCAATTGGACTGGAATCACATGGTCTGGTGTTAAGGATCAAACACGTAGGGAGTGATTGAAGATACTTGTGAAGCGAGTTATAACCCCCAACCTAGTGGATACTAAATCCGAGGCATTTAGACTGACAAAAATCCTAATGAAGCCCTTTGCATTTGGCAGTAATAAATATGCTGTGATGCAGCCCTTTCTGGTGTGGGACTCCTAAGCTGTTTACTTTGTTTTGGTGGGATGGCTTTGTGTGTAATGCCCTCCTGGGCCATGTCTGCCAGCAAGTTACAGCTTCTCCGGGTGTTTTGGAATAATGCAGGACAATTAGCATACAATGCTATGCTTACATGGCGAAATATCTCCCAGGCAAATGAGTCTAATAGCTAATGCTGTGGGACCTTTAATAGTCGCAGGAGAACGTAAGCTAACCTTCCCATCTAAATGATAACATCTTCAGTAGTACAGGCACTCAGGCATTGGTTGTCAGAAATCCATCCATCCACCCATCCATGCATTCATCCATCCATCCATCCATCTATCCACTTAGGGCTTATCCTGGTCAGTATCATGGCTACACCCCGGGAGGGATGCCAGCGTCTTACGTTTTGAGATCCGCAGACCTCACAGGAGGCCTCATATCTGCAGAGGCTGTAGAGCTGACGGGTGAGAGGTCAAAGGTCGCCAGCATCTCACCTGAAGCCCAGCTGCCGGCACACGACCTGGGCCTGGAGGCCGGTCCAGTTGCGGCTGCAGATGGTGCCCCAGTCGCCGGCATGGAACACCTCAAGGCGGCCCTCCCAGGGGCTGTCGGCCCCCACCAGCCGCACCACCCCATCTGCAGGCCAGGCAGGACCACAGAGGGCGGGTGAGCGAGAGAGTGCAGTGACACCCAGGGAGAGAGCGCAGTGACACCCAGGGAGAGAGTGCAGTGACACCCAGCGAGAGAGCGCAGTGACACCCAGGGAGAGAGAGCGCAGTGACACCCAGGGAGAGAGCGCAGTGACACCCAGGGAGAGAGCGCAGTGACACCCAGGGAGAGAGTGCAGTGACACCCAGGGAGAGAGCGCAGTGACACCCATTACCGGAGGTGTGTGTTGTGCTGGACTGCCTTCCCCTAAAGCCCCAATGTGATATAAACCTGTTATTTTGACATAATAGGGACCATTTTTTGGTTCCACAGGGAGAAACTCAATTTTGTAAAAATCTGTAACTGTTTGGTTATTTACAGTTAAAGCCACAGAAATGAATGGAGAATCCCAACAAAGATACAGGTACGTGCGTGTGTGTGTGTGTGTGTGTGTGTGTGTGTTATGCTGACCCGCGATGGTGATTGTCACCACTCACTCCCACACATTTGCATCTGTGGCCCCCTGTTGGCCAGAAACAGTCATTTCACTAAATATAAAATTAACACAAAACCAGTTAGCTAGCTGTGATGTCCTTCTGACTCTACTGACTAGCTATTTAGTTTTTGAGACATCTCCGGGGGCCACAAGCTGGAGCCTGCCCCTGCTCCTGCTTTCTAACCCAGCACAGCTCTGCTCACCGGTGTAGGGGCTGCAGGACACCCCAGCGTCCTCCATGTGGTCGCAGTTGTGCTGCTCCCAGCCGCCATGGGCACACTCATCCAGGGAAAGCTCGTTCCCGGAGCACTGTACCGCATCCAGCATGATGGGGCCCGAACCCTGGCCAAAGTGGGCCCAGGACCAGGCCTTCGGGATGCCCCTGGGTCACACGCAGAGACAAACACATGACCATAAATGTCATAGCGCCCCCTAGCCACGCAATCTAGACACTGCACCGGCTCAAGTCCATGTTAGGCTTCCTTTCATAAATAAAATACAGTACACAGAAATATGTACACAGCACACCTATTTCTGTACAGGCACACAGTGCCCTCTGGAGACCTGTATGACTACAGTACTGGGTGGTCCTGTGCTGGGGAGGAGTGGCTGGAGAGCCACAGACGGTCCGGAAATGGCGCATTGGCGATGAGCTAACTGTCCACGTACCCCAGCCCCAGCTGCCTGCACACCACCTCTGCGTCGACGTCGTCCCACTTGTCATCGCAGACGGTGCCCCACCTGCCATTGTAGTACACCTCCACGCGGCCCTCAAACTCCTCCAGACCTCCCACCAGCCTCAGGGGGGCGCCGTTACCTGAGGTAAAATAAAACCACACCCGCAGTTTAGCCTGACGAACATCAAAAAAGAATCAGATTGACTACGTCCGACTAATATCTCATAAGAGTCATTTATTTAGCTGCCTCGTTAAATTTTGGACTAAAATGATTTTTTAATGTTGGACTAATTCATTAGAATTAGAATTTTGACATGAGTATTAAATAATTAATGTACCACTTCATGTAACATAACTGACAGTGTAAATGGTCTGAGGCAGGCCAGCTCATCCCAGCCTGGGGTCTCTGGAAGGCCGACTTCCGGCTCTCACACAGGCTGTTTCGGCTTCCAACTGCACATTAAATGATGCCCAAGCTCTGGACACAGAGGGTCAGCAGAGCAGAAGGTGAGGAGACATGAGGAGTTGAAACATTAAGTAGGGGCATGTCCCAATCTCCGTATCCCATTCCCCGAGTCCCAATCTCCGTATCCCATTCTTCGTATCCCATTCCCCGAGTCCCAAACTCCGTATCCCATTCTCCGTATCCCAGTCCCCGAGTCCCATTCTCCGTGTCCCATTCTCCATATCCCATTCCCCGAGTTCCATTCCCCGAGTCCCATTCACCGTATCCCATTCCCCGAGTCCCATTCTCCGTGTCCCATTCTCCATATCCCATTCCCCGAGTTCCATTCCCCGAGTCCCATTCACCGTATCCCATTCCCCGAACCCCATTCTCCGTATCCCATTCCCCGAGTCCCATTCCCAGAATCCCATTCCCCAAGTGCCATTTTCCGTATCCCATTCCCCGAGTCACACTCTCTGTATCACATTCCCCAAATCCCATTACCAGAATCCCATTCCCCAAGTACCATTTTCCGTATCCCATTCCCCGAGTCACACTCTCTGTATCACCTTCCCCAAATCCCATTCCCCATGTCCCATTCCTCGTGTCCCGTTCTCCAAGTCCCATTCCCTGTGTCCCATCTCCTGTGCCCTATTCTCTGATTCCTATCCCCCGTGATTGCTGTGACTGCCACTAACCTCCGCACCTCACCATGTGACCTCCGCACCTCACTACATGACTTCCACATCTTAGGTGTGACCTCCGCACCTCATCGTGTAACCGTTGCACTTCACCGCGTGACCACTTTCAGTTTCATTCAGGCACGCGTGCTGAACTATAGAAGCCAGTTAATCTGGGTGCCTGCAGTCACAATGCCGCTCCACCCGTTCTCACCTTCAGGCGGGGCGCACACCACGCTGGCCTCGTTCCCATGGTTACAGTCTCCCGTGACAAACTTCCTGCTCCGGCACTCCAGCAGAGAGTTCTCGTTACCACGGCAGCCCAGTCGCTCATAGTGGAAGAGACCAGTGCCAGGCCCGAAATAGGAGTGCTGGAGCGCCGTGCCGATATCTCTGCGCAGACAGACGGAGGGAGAGCGTACTTACTGTGCGAGCACAGCCCTGCTGCCAACTGTCAGCACTGGGGCTCCATCGACACACATACACACACAGCAGCCTGACACACATACACACACAGCAGCCTGACACACATACACACACAGCAGCCTGACACACACAGACACACACACAGGACAGCTTTAACCCTTACCCAGCCCTAACCTTAACCATAAGTAACCAAACAAAATATAAGACTTTTGGCATTTTTCATTTTTTGACTACAGGGACAGATTTTTTATAAAATTCAAATTTTATTACATTGTGGGGACACTGGGTCACACTCACACTGTATGAATCAGGTCCCTCCCCCTTAAGAATATAACGTAAGACACGGTTTTTCTCACCCCAAGCCCAGCTGGCTGCAGATGACGCTGGCGTCGCGGTCCGTCAGGTGGGTGTCACACACGGCCCCCCACTGGCCATTCAGGTACACCTCCAGACGCCCACTCCTGGGGGAGGAGCTGCCTACCAGCCGGGCTGCACCTGAAATAAGGAGAGACGGCCTGGTTCAAAGGTCACAGTGGGAAAGCCGTCGGTAGGTGGAAACCCAGTCAAACAGCCATTCCCATAATGAGCTCCAGCCTGGGGGGGGGGGGGGTTTAGCCGTGTAGAAATGAAACAATGTGCACCTTCTGGCAGAAGCCAACAGAGTCTGGGATCACAGCAGGAGAGAAAACACCCAGAGACTGACTTACTGTGAAATGCAGTACAGAAATGAACACAAGATGGCGCTCAGTCACACATGGGGTGGATGGGAGCAGGCAGGCGGACGGGGGGCCATGCGGTGGGGGTGGGAGGTGAGCAGTCAGCCGTCGGGCCCTGACCCTGGTGGCAGTCACAGTAAGCCCAGCCGACGGCGCCCGAGCTCTGCCGGAAAAAACACCAGGGGTTGGATTCGCGGTCCGGGTTCCGGCAGTAGCTGTGGTCGCCCAGCCCCCGGCCCGGGTACTGCTGCACGTAGTCGGGGAACTCGGTCCAGCGCAGGCAGGGCAGCCCGGAGTCCGTCTGCGACACCGAGCCGTTGTAGTAGCCAAGCTCAGTGAAGCCCTCGGAGCAGGATAGGGGGGCTGGGGGCGGAACACAGACGCACACGGACAGACAGACAGACACGCAGTTCACACAGGCTCCCACACAGGCTCCCGCACAGGCCGGGTTCGTCTCCCTAAAGCCCCCCCGGGGGAGGTACTGCGGGAAATCTGAGAAATTAAGTCCTCTCAGTTGTGGGAAATAATCCGTAATTGGAAAAGAATCCGTAAAATTGAGGATTAGACTGAAACAAGAACACTGGATGGCACTGTCAGGACACAGTGGGTATGGCTTTAATGAGCGAGACCCCCCAGGAGCTCGACACACATCCAGACACACATGCCGAGTGTGCAGCCCACAGGAGTGACATGGGAGTGATTTCCACGCATCCCATCCTCTCTCTCTTGTGTGTACGTGCATGCGCACACACAGATAGGATGATGTGCTTCCACACTGGATTTGAGGAGATCAGGCCCCATTGTCCTCTCATCTAAAGACTTGCAGCAAAAACATCCACACATGGACTGAACTGGAGCCCAGCTTCACTGAGCTGACCCACTTCTGCAGCGACCAGGTTGGACCAGAAGGGGGAACCATTTGACACATGCAACATTTCTGTGCAATATTTTATTGTGAATCTTACAGTGAACCTCTGCAGCAAGCGTGGCCAATCTTATCCAGAAAGGGCCTAACTAGGGACTAATTAGAGAATTAGAGAATGATTGGCTAAAGAGTCCTCACGCCTGGGTTTGAACAGATGACATGACCGTTACCCCAAAAGCCCGCACACACAGCAGCCCTTTGCGGATAAGACCGGCCGCCCCTGTGCTACAGTCAGGCTTTATTCGCTTGCTAAATGTGGAGCCAAGATTGCATCAGATTTTTTGCAATGCACAAAGATACTCTTCATATAGCAGAAATTATATCTATAGTTATATAAGGACATACAGACGTGGACAAATTTGTTGATTCCCCTTCCACAAAAAACAAAAATCTCTGAATTAACTTGAAACTGACAAAAGTTTAATGGCATCCCTTATTATTTATTCCACATTTAACACAAATCCGACTTTGCTTTTGATTGATTCAGTTGAATATTTTATATAATTAAACAAATTAAAATGGCAGACAAAAAAGATGGTACCCTTAGTTTAATATTTTGTGGCACCACCTTTTGCAGCATTCGCTGCCAACAAGCGATCTCTGTACTTCACAGTGAGACGTCTGCATTTGCCAGCAGGTAGTCTGGCCCACTCTTCCTGAGCAAACTGCTCAAGCTGCCTCAGGTTTGGAGGGTGGCGTCTCCACACTGCAATTTTCAGATCTTTCCATTGATGTTCAATAGAATTAAGATCTGAGCTCATGCAGGACTATTTAAGGATAGACCAGTCTTGAGAGCTTTTAGCTGTAAGTTTTGGGTCATCATCCTGTTGGAGGACCCATGACCTGTGACAGACACAGCTTGGATGGTTTTGGATGGTTTCCTTGGCTCTTTATCTACCATCCACACTCTCCTTTTGATCAACCTGGGGTTACATTTCCTCTTGCGTCCAGGTCCTGGGAGGTTGGCTGCAGTCCCATGATCCTTATACTTTTAAATGACGTTGCCAACTGTGGTCACAGGAACATGAAGCTGCTTGGAGTTGGTCTTACAGCCTTTACCTTTAACACTGTTACCCATAATCTCCTTTCTGAGCGCCTCACACAGCTCTCGCCTTTGCTTTCTCTGGTCCACGGTCAGTGTGGTGCACACAGTGATACCAAACAACACAGCAACGTGTTCTTTCCCTTTAAACAGGCTGAATGGCTGATGAAAAGCATGAAGGCAGCTGAGATACTAATTAAGGTTAAACAGTTAGTTTGAAACATGACTATAATGCAAGAATAAATAGTCTCTATACGGGTACCAACAAATCTGTCCATGTCTTATAAAATAAACAACAAATAATTTCTTTTCACAGTTGTATTGGTTTACTCTATTGTATACTAAAGGCATGCAGGTATACACTAGACAACTGCATTTAATTGAATCACTTTTCAGGAGAAATGAAGCATTGTTTGAATGAGCTGTAAGGGTACCAACAAATTTGTCCATGTTTGTATATTAGTCACCATAACACAAACATTAAGTAAGTGTCAAGTGTTCACATCAATGCTAAAAATGTGTTAAATAAAGGTATTTAAATGCATGTGTCAAGACAATGATCTATCATACATGTGCATTGCTGCAATATTTTTAATATTTTAAATAGTCCATATATAGAAAAGAAAGTACCAAAATGTACATGTAAAAAACAGGCTGGTGCAGCGAGTCTCCTTCACTGTCTGACACAGGCTGGTGTAGTGAGTCTCCTTCACTGTCTGACACAAGCTGGTGCAGCGAGTCTCCTTCATTGTCTGACACAAGCTGGTGCAGCGAGTCTCCTTCACTGTCTGACACAGGCTGCTGCAGAGAGTCTCCTTCACTGTCTGACACAGGCTGCTGCAGCAAGTCTCCTTCACTGTCTGACACAGGCTGCTGCAGAGAGTCTCCTTCACTGTCTGACACAGGCTGGTGCAGCGAGTCTCCTTCACTGTCTGACACAGGCTGNTGCAGCGAGTCTCCTTCACTGTCTGACACAGGCTGGTGCAGCGAGTCTCCTTCACTGTCTGACACAGGCTGGTGTAGCGAGTCTCCTTCACTGTCTAACACAGGCCGCACCTCAGTCAGATATTTTATTTGTCTCTTATTCTCTGTGTAGTGGTAAGATGTCCTTTGTCTCACTCCATCATCTCACTCCAGCGACACACACCAGTCTCAACCCACCATCTCACTCCCGCATCTCATTCCATCGTCTCACTCCATCATCTCACTCCATTGTATCTTTACTATTTCTGCTTCTCTCGTTCACTTGTTCTGGACATCAGCCTCTGGTGTTAAACATAAATCATAAAAAGGGCTTTTAAATTCACAGCCACATTTGCCTCTTTGGCTCTGATCCCAGTTTGATATTCTTACGGAAAGCGGCGTGGACATTTACTGTAGTGTGGATACACGGAAGGCACGAGAGTGGATATATCTGCTGGGGGCTCGCTGGTGGCCAGGATAAGGGAGCAGCGTGTGGAGCTGCTGGTGAGAGAGGCAGCTCAGGACCATATTTACAGCTGGGCTGACAGGAGTCTCTTCTGTTCGGAATAAGCAGAGATCCAAACTCTCCACTGCCTGTCTGGCTAATTGCGCCTATAGAAAGTGGCTTAATCACCCAGCTGACTTTAGAAATTCTGCGCCCCATGAGAATCTGAAGCCCCTAAAGAGATGGTGGCTTCCAGGCCTCATTGTACAAGGACAAAATGGAGCACAGTTAGAATTCCAGAGTGTGGCTTATTTAGCTTAACAAAGAGGCAGCTGCTCTGTAAATGCAGTTAAGGCCCCGTTGGTGGTTTGAATTCCGTTGGTATGAACCAGAAGCTACCACTCCGGTTTGTCCCCTGTCAGTCTAAACGAGGAGCTGCAGCTCCAGTTCGAAACCCATCAGTATAAACAAGGAGCTGTCACTCCAGTTCAAAACCTGTCAGTGGAAATGCAGAGACGCTGCTCTGGTTCAAATACCATCGGCGTAAAGAGGAGCCAGCACTCCAATTTGAAACCCATCGGTGTAAAAGAGGAGCTGTCACTCCAGTTCAATTCTCGTTGGTGTAAATGTGGAGACACTGCTCTGGTTTGAGCCTCACTGGTGTGAACAAGGAGTTCCAGTTCGAATCCCATTGGTGCACACGAGGAGCTGCAGCTCCAGTTCAGATTCCGTCACTGTATATGTGGATTGAAAGAGTAACTGATACCCAGGGCAATCCTAGGATTTCAGCCCCTTGGTTATTTTTTATGGGGGCTGAAGCCCCCCTAAATAAAGCTCTGACATGCTGATGGTAATGAGCCTCCCCCGGCGTGAGCCATAATGGTGTGCAAATTCAGTCAGTGCAAATGACACAACTTCCACTTAACATAATTAAACACAGTAAGAGGGGAAGGGGGACAGAGGATGTGCCCCCCCCCCTCTCAGATGGGTCCTGTTCGGTTAACACTCCCATGCGTCGGCCTGCTTCTACACCCAGCAGCAGGGCAGCATGTGGTCAAGCTGGTCAGGGTCACTGCCTTTGTGGCCAAACGGTGCTGGTGTTGCTGGTTTCTGAGGCCATAAGCAAAGCTCGGTGAAGGCAGGACCAGCGCGTTTGTGGTGGAGTGTTTAACTAAAGTGGGACGGGCATATTTACACAGTTTCTACACAGCAGGGTACGCACTGCAACCAATATTTTTTATAGTACACTTGATTTAATTTAACATTAATTTTTCTATACTGTCCATTTATGCAGCTCAAAATACTGCTGCCATCTCATCTCGTCATACTTTTAGTGTGTTAGTATATGTGCATATACATGTGTGTGGTTAAATGTGCGTGCATTTCTTTGTGTGTGAGCATCCGTGTGTATATTTGTGTGTATGTGAATATATGCGTGTATGTTTGTATGTATTGGTGTATACGTGTGCGTGTGTGTGCGAGTGTGTGTGTGTGCAAGTATGTGTGTGTGTGTGTGTGTGNGTGTGTGTGTGTGTGTGAGTGTGTGTGTATGTGTGTGTGTGTGAGTGTGTGTGTGTGTATGTGTGTGTGTGTGAGTGTGTGTGTGAGTGTGTGTGTGTGAGTGTGTGTGAGTGTGTGTGTGTGCGCGTGCCTGAGTTACAAAGAAGAAAGTAGAGCAGAAACTCACATTTGCTGACCAGCCAAAGCGCTGAACAGATTTATAGCCTTATAAGCCAAACCATCCCCCACCCCCTGCCCCCCCCACCTCCATTTACCTCAGCAGTGAGCTTCCATTCTGGGCCCGACTGACTGGGACAATAAAAAAACCATGTATCACAGACCATGTTGGCGCCATGCGAGCTGTGGACTCCCCCCAGAAAGAGGTGAGGCCTACATGACGCATCACTGGGCAGCCCGTGTGAACGCCAAGTCCCCGCATCGCCGCACACAGCCAGTGTTCAGGGTCGGGGGAAGATACCAGATCTCCCATAATGTCCTCTCATCTACACTGAAGCGTTCTGAGGCCGGAACCAAGAGGAAATGAGGTCACACTTCAGGGAGCGAGCCACGTCGTCGCTAAGCGACGCTTTACACCCCCTTGTTGATGAGCCACGGGGGCCACGGGGATCACCCCCACCCCCCACCCCTTGGCTCCGGTGATAGAGGCCACACACCGTGACCCACCCACCTGTGCTCCGCAGTGTGTTTAAGTAGCTGTCTTCAGTGATTACCTGCGGAGAAACGAAAAAACGGTTTGAGACAGGCGTGAACGCAGACGATAATCCTCACAGCCCCGGAGAGGAGCTGGGGCGCGCGGCGGGGGTCAGGTATGCTTCAGACTGCCGGCCCAGGGACCAGTTTCCTGAAGCCTTCTTAAAGGAAACTTTCGTAACTTCTGTCTTTTAACATAGAACTTACGAACGACGTAGCGTTAAGGCTTCGGGAAACTCAGCCCAGATCATTAGTTTCCCCGGAGCAATGGAGAAAGAGACGAGAATGTCCCAGAAAGTTTTCGCAAGATATCAGAGCATCACACATCAGAGAAATCAGACTGTGCACAACAGTGTCTAAACATCACCTGCTGCACCAATGAAAGGAGGCAAAAACAACACGGTCTAGACAAGTGAAGCAATGAAAGACACTTAGAAAAGTATAATATTTTAAGATTGTCATGCCAAAAGTATCACAGTAACAAAATTGAAGGTTACAAACATTCGGACACCAAAATCGGGTTTCTACGGTGATGGGGGTCCCCAGGTTTTTAGGGTGACGGGGGACCCAAGCAGAGGGAACATTCCACAAAAAGATCAGGCCATTTTATTCCATGAACATCTGGGATCTCAGCCATTTGCTTGATGGAACTAATCAAGGTTTTATGCTATAATCTGGGTAATTAAGGGTGGAGATAACCTCTTGTTGTGTCTCCAGTCTGACAGGGAACGCCTTACTGGTTTAGGTTCCCTCTGGATAGGGCAGGTGATAAAAATATAGCTACAGTACATATTAGCCAAGATGTCAGAGAAATGTCATGGAGCTCATTAATCGGCACTGAACTGCACCCGGATCAGCGCTTCATCATGAGGCTAATTGAGTTTCGCTTCGCGTCGATAGTAAAGGCAAGTGGCACCTCGTCTGGCTGGGACAAAACTGCAGCCCATGACACTCAAAGCGTGACACTTAATTACAGCCATCGGTCCCGCCCCCGGGGCGAGATCTGAGTCGGCTGCACAGAGCTCTCTACCAGTCCGCTTTAAGAAATGAAAGCGGCATGGTGATGTTATTGTCGTGTTTGTGTTTGTAACCACGCCTGTACCCACGGGAGTCGCTAGGTTCGATCAATCGGGGTTACAGCCCTGAAGATTTTAGCCCTGATGCCAACTTTCCTTCAAAAAACAAAGGTCAGGTCCCAGGTAAATGTGACTTAGCCACTGATTTTTTTCAATTGCTAGAAACGACCCTTCATTATTGCCATGAGCACAACCGAGTAAGGTGTTTAACACGTTTTAACTTCACATAGAAGTTAGTATTGCATGTACTGATATATAATTCAAATATGTATGTAACTGGTTTTCACAATTTCTATGGGGGTTATACCTATTTACTCTGATTAGTTCTGGTTATAGGATGGATGGATGATTGTATGTATGTATGTATGTATGGATGGATGGATGATTGGATGGATGGATGGATGGATGATTGTATGTATGTATGGATGGATGATGTTATATTGTGGCAAATTAATTTCTTCCCGTTTACGTTTAGAAATTATATTCTTATATTCTTTCCCTGTATAGCTATTATATTTGAAATATATATTTGCGTCGAAAAAACAGGCTGTAACGGATCAGCATCCGTCAGTAAGAAAGGCCACCGCCATCAGCCGTCACAGCGTTACCGTTACCGACAGCGAAAGCGTCTCCCTTCACTTTCCACGCCTTCGGGATGTCGCCTTACGACGCGCTCCGTGCGTGTTTGTGTGTGAAATCCGTGTAGCCCTATTTAAAATACTCACAGCTTACAGCGACATGTTCTTATTAATCATCCAGATATACAGAATTAAATATGTAATACGGAGACGCGATTGATTTTGATCTGGATATTCTAAAGAGAATTTTATAGAAGCAATTACCTTATTATACATAATAATGAAATATCAGTAAATATGTGAAAACGCTTATAACTATCGTGTTTTGAATTAATGTTAGTTAAATGTGCAATTTTCCCGTAACATTTACGCGTTTCCATCCGGAATACACGAACTGTTCAGGTTTTATATATCATCCCAAACCCCGCTAATGAGAAAGGTCTCCGCTACAGCCTGTCATCTCCTCACTGGAGACCCTGGAGATCAATGTATCCTCACCACACCGTTCGGCTCTACTTGTGCATTTTTAACAAAGCCGCTATCACAAGTACTTTAGACAGAGATGACAGAATAGCTTGCATTTAGCTTAATGCAATCTTAAATCCGTGACATATCACACTTTACACCTGATAATAAAGCTTCCCTTTACATAGCATTTAAACTGCTATTTAATTTATTATTTTCCATTTATTGGCTCACCGGTGTTTTTCTCAGATTTCTACCTGCAATCTGAGTTTTACGTCGTTTTACTCATGCAAACCAAGCTTCACGTTACAATGCCGCACAAAAGCAACTGATTGCTCCTGCTCGATTTATAGCCGAGGCGTTACGGGACGCGTTTTGCGGGCGCAGATATCGGCGTTTCGGTTAATCTCTCTCATCATTAGTGAAGGACCGGGGGACAGACACTCATTTAACGGGAAAATGTGTCACTAAAATGCTGCAAATGCACATAAGCGCGGCGTGCAGAGACCCGGCGGCCGGCACCCACCTCCGCTCGGACCCGCAGCCCGCAGCTGTACGCCAGCATCAGCGCGAAGTAGCTGCCCAGAACCATCGCGTCCGTCCGGCTGCACATGTCACCGGCAGCTTAGGGGCAAGAAACCTTCTGCCATCGCAAACGGCCGGGAAACACCTACAGCAGCGGCAGCACGGGCTTATCTGTCCGTCTCCCGTTATTCGTTTTTCTCCACCGGTATAAAGGAGCGAAGAGTGAAAAGGGTAAATGAAGGAAAGTCCGTGATGAAGTGGAAGCGTAGGCGTCGCCCCTCACTCACATCCTCTATAATCCTTTATAAACCTTTAAATGTGCGCCGTCATGTGCCGCCCCTTCACACGCTCCTGCACCCTGCGTTTATAGCCCGCTGCAGCAGCCCCACGGCATGGGCGTCGCCGCGGTGCGGCCGCTCGGCGAAGTGTCCTTTCCCAGCCGCACGGACGAACGGAGCTGCGCGTCCGTCCGCCTCTTCTCGGTTTGCGCGCTGATTGCGGGACCCCAAGCCACCGAAGCGCTTACGGCCGGTGTGGGTGGAGTTTAATTTCTCTGAAAACCATGCAAACATCATCGTTAAAAGTCTTTATCATACGGAGCACCATCCCCACTGCGCCATATACCCCTCATATTTATCACAAAGCGTCCTTAGAATGGCATGGCGTAGTGCGCGCCCGTTATAGGTGAGCGATTACACCACACGCCCCCTGCTCCACTTGCAGGTGGCGGGGATGAGGGCCACCGGAGCCGCGGCGAGGCACCAGACTCCTGTCTCTGCTGGTCAGAGCATCTGATCTGATGGCTCTCAATGAAAAGGGTCCGGATTTGTTACAAAATACGAGCAAACAACAATATCATGAGATACGCGCCATGTGTACAGCTAATATATAAGGATTTGCATTGCAAATAATTGAAAATCTAAACAGAAAATGTGTGTATCGTGATACTTAATATTAAAATCGATGTATGACTAAAAATAGAAACGCGAACACACCCAGTGAGGTAACTCCTTTAGGTACCGCTAGCTGTGGGGGGGAGAGGGGGGGTTGGTTGTTATTTCGGCCCCTCTCGCCTTCCAGTTATCTTTAATGGGTCTCTCCATCCCTTACTCTTCTCACTCTTCGCATGTAGGGTTGGACTAACTTCTCTGGGGCCACCAGGCTGACATGGGCAGGGCAGCCTCCTAAATGGGCCACTGGATATATTTTTGCCCCCAAAACAATGGAACAATCAATAATATTCCAATCAATATAGTGAAAATGAACTTTCGTCAAGGTTAGTCTTGAACTCTTTCTTATGTTCATTTAATTGTGTTCCTGCTTCTGTTTACAATGTAACAGTGACTGCAGTGAGGCAGTCAGACTATGAGGCTTAATTACTGTCAGTCTGGTATCTCTGTGCCGTTTTCGTCTTCTTACTTTCTGCCACTTTTCCTGCCAGTGAACAGCTGACCGACTCCAGTGGTGCAGTAGTGCAGTGAGAGCTGTGTAGCTGTGTAGAATAGCCCATTACAGCTGGGACACGGGCAACGTTGTCTGTCCTGAAAACTGTCACAAAAAATGCAAATTTCATACATGCTGCTATCATATAAATTATCACTATCATATTTCCTGCAATGTAACATCTGGAAATTCTGTCTTCGCGGGGCCCCTAGTTTTCAGGGACCACAGGTAGCCCCCTACCCTGGCCTTATGGTAGGTCTGCCCCAGGCGGCCCCTACCCTGGCCTTATGGTAGGTCTGCCCCAGGCGGCCCCTACCCTGGCCTTATGGTAGGTCTGCCACAGGCGGCCCCTACCCTGGTCTTATGGTAGGTCTGCCCCAGGCGGCCCACCTACCCTGGCCTTATGGTAGGTCTGCCCCAGGCGGCCCGGCCCACCTACCCTGGGCTTATGGTAGGTCTGCCCCAGGCGGCCCACCTACCCTGGCCTTATGGCAGGTCTGCCCCAGGCGGCCCACCTACCCTGGCCTTATGGCAGGTCTGCCCCAGGCGGCCCACCTACCCTGGCCTTATGGTAGGTCTGCCCCAGGCGGCCCACCTACCCTGGCCTTATGGTAGGTCTGCCCCTGACTGCATGATCCTTGTTCCTCACACCATACTCTGTAAACTCCAAGCGCTGCAGCGTGTGAGGATCCCAGGAGGGCGGCTGTTCCTGAGATGCCGGAACCGCCACACACGGCACCAGCAATGAAAGTCACACACGTTAGCTTAGCCAAACAGCTACTGAACCTCCACGCTGCCTGTGCTGGGAGGACTGGGATGTTTGCATTAGCATGTAGCAGTAGCTAGTAAAGTAGTTAGTAAATAGTAGAGCCGCTGCATTGAAAGGAGCCAGTCGAGGTGGTTTGGGCGTCTGTCCTGGTCACGTCTCTGGAGAGGTCCAGCCGGGAGGAGACCCCAGGGCAGACCCAGGACGCGCTGGGGAGATGATGCTTCTCGGCTGGCCTGGGAACGCCTTGGAGGATGTGGCTGGTGAGAAGGTGGTCTGACCATCCCTGCTTAGATGCAGCCATCACCGACCCCGGAAAGGCAGCAAACAATCGATGGCTGGATGGTAAACTGCCCTCAGTGTGGGTGTCCTGTTCAAGGGAGCAGCCCCTTCATTCAGGTCGACCGGCCTCCCTGCATGGCTCTCATTGCCTGAAGTCACAGTTACAGTCGACATTTAAGAATATAAAAACACAATGACCTTGACTACGATCACACTACCAAGCTGAAGTGACTCAAATTGAATTTTTTTGCCTGAATATGACTCAGATCTGTTTTTTTCACGGCTGTATGGACACAGATATTTTCAAACTGGATCTGAGTCACCTCCACATGTGGTCCTGGATCAGATACATATCCGATTCGTGTCCGTGTGACATGAATGTAAGCAGCCAGACTGGAATTCATGCGGTTCCTTTGCCTATATGCATATACACTGAGCATTTCTTTCTTGTTAGTGACATGTCACTCGTTAGTGACTTGTGCAAAAACGTATCAATGTGCACATGTGAACCGTTGGGGAGGACAGATGCTTTCACATTACAGTTGTATTTATGAATGTGAATCCTCAAGATAGGCAAATCCGACCTGAGCAAAAAATCGCAATTTGACAATGAGGCTTGTAATGTGAACATATCCAGAGACTCTCCCTGAGATATGTATGTTTAGCAGAAGCCTGTATACAAAGTAACATACAGTGTCCCTGGAACAATTGGGGGTTGGGGGTCTTGCTCAAGGGCTCAACAGTGAAAAGGTTTGGCCAGTTAGGGAATTTGAACCATAGACTGGCTGAGTGTAGGAGCAAAGCCACACAGCATCCCCCTTGGCTGGGACACAATAAGACAACCAGTGACATCAGCAGAGATTCAGCAGCATCAAGAGACCAGAGTGGGGTGAGGCCACTGGAGGTAAAGATGTAAAGATTGCTCCAGGTGAGGCTCGAACTCACAACCTCAGCATGGCTCTGCTCGTACTGCTGTATAAGTACTGTGCGCTAACCGATTGCGCCACTGGAGCTGCCCACAGGGTCCCCTGCACTACCCCTGGATGACTACTGCTTTCATGTCCTACTGGGAATCCTCACATGACACGTGATCTTACAATGAGGCATTTTAAAATAAGTCAATGGTTAAAGAACTGCACATCTATACGGCATAATACCCCAAACCCAGGGCAGTTAAACTCGGGCCAGTGCTCTGCCTTAGGGTTAGTAATACTGATTAATGATATTTTTCATAAATATCATTGGATCTCATTCACAGATATCATTTGAGGCCAATCAAACCTGAGTGTGGGTTTCATCTGGATAGTCGGGTTTCCTCCCACTGTCAGAAGACCTGCAGTTCGGTGACCCTGGTCTCTCTTAGGCCCCCAGAGCGACGGCGGGGATGAGCGCAGCGACCCTGGTCTCTCTTAGGCCCCGAGAGCGACGGCGGGGATGAGCGCAGCGACCCTGGTCTCTCTTAGGCCCCCAGAGCGACGGCGGGGATGAGCGCAGCGACCCTGGTCTCTCAGGCCCCGAGAGCGACGCCGGAGATGAGCGCAGCGACCCTGGTCTCTCAGGCCCCCAAAGCGACGGCGGGGATGAGCCCAGCGACCCTGGTCTCTCAGGCCCCCAGAGCAACGCCGGGGATGAGCGCAGCGACCCTGGTCTCTCAGGCCCCCAGAGCGACGCCGGAGATGAGCGCAGCGACCCTGGTCTCTCAGGCCCCGAGAGCGACGGCGGGGATGAGCGCAGCGACCCTGGTCTCTCAGGCCCCGAGAGCGACGGCGGGGATGAGCGCAGCGACCCTGGTCTCTCAGGCCCCCAGAGCGACGCCGGAGATGAGCGCAGCGACCCTGGTCTCTCAGGCCCCCAGAGCGACGCCGGAGATGAGCGCAGCGACCCTGGTCTCTCAGGCCCCCAGAGCGACGCCGGGGATGAGCGCAGCGACCCTGGTCTCTCAGGCCCCGAGAGCGACGGCGGTGCTCTGCTCATCCTGCTCGGCTAAATTCATTATCCTTCCCTGCCATGCTTTCCTGCTAACTGCTAATTACATTTCCAAATATTTAATATGGCTGTCTTTTCCTTCCCAAAGATTCGCGCGGTACAAACGTTTAGCCGTAAAGCTGAGTCATCGCATCAGCTAAGCCGGAGGGGGTCAGAATAAAAGATGTTCAGCACAGGATGTTAGAACTCAGACGGGGATTTGGCGGGGGGGGCAGACTGAGGAGGGGCTCGAAGCAGTGAGAGAGCACGGTGAGAGAGCTTTGGACTCAGAAGCCAGGATGTCACTCGGGGCTTTTTCACCAGCTAGAGAGCAGAGAGGAAACCGTGTTGCCGTTCTTTCTGCTTACGCTGTGCAACCCGCCATGTCTCCCTGGGTTAATCAGAGAAACGTGCAGCTCTCCTGACATACGCCCTTGCTTTAATTCCCTGTGCTTGTTCCACAGCACTGTTCTCCTCTGACCCCCTCAGCCACTATGGGATGCGGAAGCTTGGCCTAGCTCTTGGAGTGTTACTTACTGTAGGGACATTTTTTGACTTGACTTAAAACATAATTAAATTTGATGACATACCTGTGGGACGTCACTTCTCAGGCTGGAGAGTGAAAAACAAGAGCCAGGCTGGAGCATTTACACCAGGGGTAGGCAGCCCTGATCCCGGAGCGCCGGGACCCAGCAGGTTTTCCATCCTACCTGGTGTCTGAGGAACCGCACCTGATCTCTGGCAGATAGTAACTCATCAGGTAGGATAGAAAGCCTGCTGGGTACCGGCGCTCCAGGGTCAGAGCTGCCTACCCCTGATTTAGTCACTTAAGGCTGATGGAGGTCTGAAGATAAGCTGGTTTAGGGCTTTGATCTGGTCACCACCAGGTGAGCCCCTTTGCCTGTTTACCTTTATTTAGCACTTCAGTCCAAAGCAACTAACAAGGGAAGAGTGTTTTGGGGTCAGAAAGCAGGAGTAGCCAGCACCCCTGGTGCAGTCAGTGTGAAGGACTCTGCTCTGAGTCGTTACGGTCCTCTGATTATTATGCCGGCCGTGGGATTAAAACCCACGACCTTCCAGACACAGATCCCTAACCGCTAAGTGTGATGCCTGATGGCGGTGACCCATTAATACTCCGGGCTGTTTGTTCAGCCTGAGCGTCCTGCTCAGCACACCTGCTGGGATTTGAACCTCTGCCATTCTGTTTCTCACCACACACTGTATACATTTTGCATATCCTGGAAATCAAACCTCCCCCCCCCGGCAGAAAAAGAGCCGCTATTGATCAGCGGATCTACACGCGTATTCGACTCGCTTTGGGAACATTAGGGAGTGACTCACGCCGGTCTTCCCCGCAGATGAAAGCAGACATAAAACCCTCCACAATAACGTGGCGCTATTGGAGAACTTCCTTGTCTCTCACCTGATCTCAGACCAGGGATACACAGGCGAAGTCCCTCTGTTTATGATTGTTGTCTCAGCAACAGGAACCATGGCAGCAGCCTATCAGGAGAGGATTCTGTCTTCCTGTCTTTTCTCAGGTGACCTCAGAACATGAGGTTAAGCCCAGGTTAGTCCTGGAAAGGACGCAGGCTGTCCAGCTAGATTATCTGAATTAGCTTAGATTACCAGCATGGTCCGATCTGTTTCGATCATGAACGTCTTCGAGCAGCACAGTGTAAAAAAGCGGAGCCCTGCTTACCCAGGAAAAAGGCCCATCGCAGTGAAAACACAGGCTGCAACACGCACGGCATTCTGGGATGTGATGGGTGGCAGGGCATCATGTGCGTGGCCCGGATGGCCCGGCCCGGCCCGGCCCGCACGCACTCAGCGCTTAGCTCTGTGTCCTCCTGCCTGAAGTCTTGGCACATTTCACGCACCGCGACGCTGCTGGGCCAGCCGTCTGTCACTGCCCCGCCCCCACCCGGCAGCGGCACCTCCAAATCCCATTACCCACCCCCCCCACCCTGCTGTGGAAACCAGCGCTGCTGTTGGCATGGAAACTGCTTGGGAAATCGCAGAGGCGAAACGGTGCACTACCCCCCCCCCCCCTGCCGACCTCCATATTATGTGCTGCTAAAATACAAACCCTAAGTCCTTCATGTTGTTCTCCGCGGCAGCAGATCGCAAGCCAGTCTGTCAGCACATAATTTAAAATAATAATAATTTATTCCTGGATGTGTTAACAAATACCTCACGGCAATATCAGGGAGGTTTGTCGCTGACACCAACGTCCTTTGTGCAAACGACAGCCAATCTGAGCAGCTTGAAGCAGCCCTCAAGTGAACGCGATCACTGTAACGAAGAAGCACATTCAAAAAGAGCGGCCTCTTTATGCACAATCTTGGCCTTTGACGGGTGACGTAAAAATAAGCTTAGAAGAGCAGTCTCTCTCAGTTGGGGACTGGCTGACGTGCTGTGTGACCCATCCAGGCTTTCCAATTCCTCTTTGCTGTGGACCAGAGACAGATTTGCATATTCTGAGCTTGTGGATAAGATTGAGGAGGAATGTTCTCTTGATGTTCTGCTTGCACTCTTGCACATTCCAGATATATAGATTCTATCAGATTTTTTTACACTCCTAGAGAAAACAGCATCCAAAGCTTTCAGAGTCAATCATCCGGCACTGGGAGCAATCAGCTGGGTAAGAAATGTAAGAGGAAATGACATGGACCACATGTAAACACAGCAGCCATACTGTCTTTTCAGCTGGTTAAATGTGCTCCTTTTGATCAGACAAAGGTTTCCACCCAACCTTAATTTCAGAGGGAAAGAAGGTAAGGAAATCACCAGTCAGCGCCTGAGTGGAGTCCCTGATAATTTAGAGAGACCCTTTGCAGTTTCCTGATAACTGGGAGAGACCCTTTGCAGTTTCCTGATAACTGGGAGAGACCCTTTGCAGTTTCCTGATAACTGGGAGAGACCCTTTGCAGTTTCCTGATAATTGGGAGAGACCCTTCGTAGTTTCCATGTCTGCAGAGGCTGAAGTATACTTTTCGTCATGCAATAATGTGGCTTCTGGCTTGTTCTCTGGGGGCTTTGGGCAGGGACAATGCAAAGTAATGTAATGTAATGTAATGTTGTGAAAATCTGTTATAAAAATAAATTTGAATTTAACTGAACTGAATTTCTTCTGTTTACTTTAAAGTAAAAAATCCATGGAAACGAAATTGCCAACATACATCCCCAAATCCACCAGCTGACTATTTATTCTTAACAATGTAATCATTACAACTGGGTTATCGCAGGATTTTTTTTTTGTCATCTGTGGCTGGTAATCAATCGCCATGGTAATGTGAGAGCAGTAAAGCCAAGCCTGTGGCATCGCTGCACTCAGTACATCCCATCGGTAAACATTTTATTCCAGAAATGGGTACAAATCACCCTTGATTAGGATATGAACAGTAAAGCGACAGCAGTAATGGCGGCCACACATAGAAGCGTGGAATTAAATGATCATGACACCTACTGTGAGAGGAAATGGATTCTCGGCAAGTTTGTAGCACAGCTTTGCACGAGGAGCGAGAGAGGAGGACACGGTTGATGGAGGGTAGCGGGCACGCTCTCCGGCGGAGCTCAGTTTCCCAGTACCGACGCTAATTAGGTCAGAGCGCAAAACAAAGTAAAAACGTCAGCAGGCCTCTGAAAAGCGTCGCTCAGGCCCCAGAGAGAGTGCAGGGCGGCTATGTGCCATGACGACGGCAGCGTCGGTCAGAAGAGCTTCTGCCTTCCTGAACAGGCCCTCATGCAGCTCACAGTGCGCCAGCCGACCATAATAAAGTGGCCGCTCACTTATAAAACCATCAACAGGCAATATCTAGGTAACACACTAAAACTAACATCTTGGGTTGTCATGATGTAGCTCATTCCTTGCAGTACAAATAATACTGAGATAGTATAACCACCCCCGCCCCGTCTGATGGCTGACCCTAACCCTAACCCTAACCCTAACCCTATGATACTTCAGGTTGTGTGTGACATTGGCCATTCATGGTTGTCAGGATGGCCGAGAGGTCTAAGGCGCCAGACTCAAGGTTTGGAACCTTCCATTGCAATGGGTGTTCTGCTCTCCAGTTGGAGGCGTGGGTTCGAATCCCACTTCTGGCAAAAGCTTTTCAGCAAAGTCCCTGGTTGAGGGGCCATCTGCTCTCCTACATGCACATCGCTTTGGGCAAATTGTCTGCTAAATAAATAAAGTGTGAATATAGACTACCTACAAAAATTGAAGTTGCAGACCACATTGGGTGGTTTAATTCCGTTCTGGGGTCCTTTTCCTGCAAACTGCTGTGCTGTATGATGTAGGACCATCGCGTTTATGATGCAGTTTATGAAAAGCCTATAGATCTAGCAAACAGAGCAGCAGACGTTCGAGTCAGTGGGTCTTACATGTAAAACAGAGGGAGGCCAAAAGGCCAAAAGGCTCCACTAAAAATCCTTCTGATGAACTTTGAAGGGCAACATCCTTCCAGCCATTTTCGAAAACCGCTCGTCCTATTCAGAGCTGCGGGGGTGGGGTCCTGAGCCTGTCCCGGAGGCTATGGGCACAAGGCAGGGAACAACCCAGGATGGAGCACCTACTACAGGGCACACTCTCACACCAGTCACTCTCACACCAGTCACTCTCACACCAGTCACTCTCACACCAGTCACACCTACAGGCAGTTTGGTAACTCCAATTAGCCTCAGTATGTTTTTGGACGGTGGGGGGAAAATCGGAGAACCTACAGGAAACTTCAGAAGAGCCACATTATCATTAATTCATCCTTGAGTCACTGAGATTTTCAACTGCACACAACAAAACTGCAAATGCTGGAGGCACACGGCCATGGCAGTGATGTACTGAACCGCCCCCCCCCCCCAATCCTAGTGGGAGGCTTCCTCTACACGGCCTCGTGGGGAATTGCCCACAGTGTTTGCACCTGGGGTAGCTTGGGCTGGCAGCTGCCCCAGTGTAGGGTAGAGGGGGGGCGTTCCAGGGTGAGTTTGATCCAGAGCAGAATATGGTGGAGGTGCTGCTGGGTGAGACTGGGGGGGCAACCGGCTTAGAGTAGAATAGGGTGGAGGTGGTGAGAGACAGGGCCAGAGTGCAGATGGAGGACCGGCGTGGGGGGCAGCGGCACCCGCTGGAGATTGGCCAGGGGCGGCGTGAAGCGCCAGCGGCCCAGCGGCAGGCTGGGAAGGTTCCTGATTTTTGTCACCATTGCCAACTGCCCACCATGGTTGAGGTACGTCAGAAGGGGGCATCAAACCACGGAGAGATTCAGCGGGAAAAACTACCAAAGGGAATTTGATCTTTGGGCTTCTGGCACAAGGAACATCCAGGAAGACCTAGAAAAATGAACAAAATAGCAAAAAGAAAAAAAATCACAATAATAAATGGCCGAGTGTGCAGAAAAAATTAGGATTTGCAAGCCGTCCCGTTTCAGAGCAGAGAGCGTGACTTCGACCTCTGAGGCCGTGCGGCACTTACCCGCAGCTTGTACTCCACTCTGAGGATGGTGCAGTTCAGGACAGACACGGGCAGGTCCTGAGGTATGCTCAGCTCCTGCGTTAGGGTTTGCCATGTTCTAGAGGCGATGGGCTTTCCAGCCTCCTTCAGGACCACCTCCTTCTGAGAGGTTCTCGATCCGCCAGCAGAGAAGCTCTGCTTCTGACTCACTGAGAACTTGGGCACAAGTTTATGGGAGGAGCTGTTGTCGATTTCCACCGTCACCTTTAACCTTTCACCTGGGGGATTAAAAAACACCAGCCGTTTTAATTGGCAGCTAGAAGCAGGAAACCTGGGAATATACAAGGTAAAGGAAGCAGAAAGTTCCGGACCGGCGGGTCCCGGAAGAGCCGCTTCGCATTCCCACCCGGTCCTAATTAACTGTCCTTGATTAAGATGTTTGACAGCACAGCTCATTTCACGTCATCTCGGCGAATTAGTCACTCATTGACCATGTTAAAGCAAATGAGAGTCAGTGAAAGAACAAGTACGATATATAAAAAAACTGCTATTTAATTAACAAAATTAGAATTAAAAGACAATCAAACTTTTATGAAATGGAATCCAGTATAATAATAATAGTAATAATAATAATAATAATAATAGTAAATGGGCAGGTGCTCCCCATCCTCCCCCCTCCCCACCTTTAGTCCCACCCTAACATTGTTACAGCACAAACTCCACACCTCAGCACTGAATCGGCGATGCAGTGTGTTCACTAAACTCCCTCAGTTTACTGAACACTTACTCACCTTTTCGCCATATCCTGATTACCACAAATTCAATTTACATCGACCGATAAAACTTACACGGAGTTTTGTGATGCTTCCAATTGGGTTCCATGATTCGACAAATGTTCCGCTCAGTCAAAGGTACTTAACGATCATTTTTTGTGCATTTCACGCTCCTGTCTGATATCGTGTAAGCTATGATCATACAGCATGAGCTGTTTCCACGGGACAGCAGAAGGCTGCCATTGGGAGAATGCTGATCTCCGCCCGCCCAGGGACAATGCTGATCTCCGCCCGCCCAGGGACAATGGTGATCTCCGCCCACCCAGGGAGAGTGCTGATCTCCGCCCGCCCAGGGAGAACGCTGATCTCCACCCGCCCAGGGAGAGTGCTGATCTCCGCCCGCCCAGGGAGAACGCTGATCTCCACCCGCCCAGGGAGAGTGCTGATCTCCACCCGCCCAAGGAGAGTGCTGATCTCCGCCCAGGGAGAGTGCTGATCTCCGCCCAGGGAGAGGCCGTCAGAGACCTTTCTTTGCTGTTTAGGTCCATCTCATAGTCACAGGTACACGAATGGAGTCTGAATGCTTTATATGGAAGATGCTGCATGCACAGGTAATTTAACTAAAACACACAAATCAGGAATGCAACGACTCTGTGGAGGTTAACTCTCATTTAATAGCCTACAAACAGAGTTCTTTTTTTAAAATCTTTGCTCATTACCTTGCATGTAACCCATCCGGGTCATGGTGGCGTTCATGGAAACATTCCCAGAGAGGAAAAAATCCTTCCTGACCATATCACACTGGGGAGACTGCAAGACACAAACAATCCCTCTTATACAAACACAAAAATGTCATTCCACCATCTCAGTAGCAAACAATGACGTACACTTACAGTATATGGACAAAAGTATTGGGACATCTGGCCATTACACCCACAGCAGCTCGTATGACATCCCATAAATCCACAGGCATCAATGTGGAGTTGCCCCCCCCCCTTTGCAGCTATGGGAGGCTTTCATGCTGGACTTCATGTTTGAGTTTCTGTTGTTCCTAAACGCTCCCACTTTGCAATAATACCACTTACAGTTGACCATGGAATATCTAGCAGGGAAGAAACTTCACAAACTGACTTATTGCAAAGGCGGCATCCTATGACAATATCACCCCTGAAGTCACTGAGCTCTTCAGAACGACTCGTTCTTTCAGAAATGTTTGTAAACCTGACTGCATGGCTTGGTGCTTGATTTTATACACACGTGGCCGTGGGTCTGAATGAAACACCTGATTTCACTGACTAAGACATGTGTCCCAGGACTTTTGGCCATATAGTGTATCTCTGAACTGCATGGATGTCTTCAGACAGAGGGTTTATGATGATTTGTAGGAAACACTTTCCTGTGACCATCATGGTCTGGCTTATGCTGCCCCCTAGTGTATTCTGCATGAAATACACACCATCAGCTGAGCCATGCTCATCTCAGGCTTTGAAACAAAGTTGAACATGGACACTGATTTACTTGGGATCCTCCAAGACCTGCTCAGCTTTGCCTCCAGCTTGTATTCCACTTTTCCATGAGCTCCTTTAAAGGAAGATGGCATGTTCCTGTCAAGGGAAGAAAGCTGAGATGTTTACAGAGAAGGATCTGATCATAAACACCAAATCCACAGTGTGGTTCTTACCCTTGGGGAATCTGAAACGTAAACGGGAAAACATGGCTCCCAGCAGCCAGGACAACATCTGAAAATGAAAGGAAATGACTCCTAGTGAACAGCTGTCAAATTTAAAATGTAACATCCTCTAAAGCAGGCATGTCAAACTCCAGTCCTGGGGGGCGGAGCCCTGCACATTTTTGGGTTTCCCCTCATTTAACACACCTGATTCAACTCCTTGTGCTAATTACCACACAGCTCTTGAGCTGAATCATTTGTGGTGAAACAGAGAAAGAACTAAGTTATACTGGGCTCCGGCCCCCCAGGACTGGAGTTTGACACCCCTGCTCTGAAGGAAGTGCTGTGATCGCAACAGGAAGTGCCATGATCGCAAGAGGAAGTGTTGTGATCTTAACAGGAAGTGACACAGTCCAGTTATGAAGAATGCACAAAGGACACACAAAAACATGCAACTGATAAGTAAACATGCCTGACTGGTTGGGAGAACATTCCATTTCACATTTACTTCGTTTTTGCTTCAGCCCCACAGCCATTATCGCTGCTGGTTGCAGTAAGCTGACAAACTAATATGCGAAGCCTGCAGTGTTAGAGGTGCAGTGCTGGGAGCTGCATCCCCAGTCCTCTCCAAAGCAGTGCGTACACTGATCAACAGACAAAATGATTTCTGGAGCAAAATGGCTATTTCCCCCTAATTGTGACCCCCTGAACACGAATATGACCATGCCGATTTACTTTTAGCTGTAGTTTTTCAGAAACAGGACATTTTAGGTGATCGTTTTGACTGGCAACACTGCTGCTGGGGAGGGTGTGGTCAAACTGGTCTCCAACTGGTCTCTGGAACCAGTTGTCAAAAGTATGCAGTATGATCTTGTAGATGCTAAAAAGATTCTGCTTTCACATTTCCATATAAAATTAGGGTAGATGAAGGATTTTGTAAATGTTTAGTAAGACTTTACTTGAAGGAGCACAGATACTTGACTCAGTTGCTGTTGAAGTACAAATCATGAACAAATATAGCAGCTATTTGAGATAAAAGACGTGTCATGATTCATTAATGAAGAACAAACATGAGATCAGTGATTCAATGGGGCTATTCTGGAGAGTGAGTGGCTCAGTGGGCGGCGCCTCTGTGCATGTTATCGGAAGGTTGCCAGTTTGAGCCCAGCCTCAGCACATCTGCGGGTCCTTGGGCAAGGCCCTTAACCCCCAGCTCCCTGGGTGCCGCTACGGGTGGCTGCCCTTCACAGCCAGCTTGCTGTCACCTACAGAGAGCATGTTGGGGGAGGTGAAAAGAGAATTTCCCAACAGGATCAATAAGATATCTATTATTGTTGTTCCTTCAGTTGTTCTCAAAGGTTCACAGAATTAAGAGACATGGTAACAAATATAGTAACTGCTTGAGATGAAAGATAGATCACGATTCATTAATGATGAACGAACATGAGATCAGTATCTAACTAAGACTGAGTTGGTAGTTAATACATAAGTAATAGCATGATACTATATTATTTGTGCCTCCCTCCCGAAGTAAAATGCTACCAAATGTTTGACTGCAGAAGGACAAGGCTTCCAAGTCTGAGACAAAAAAGCAGGAGAATATTCTCATTAGACCACAGACATGAGAACCTCCGAAGGAAGATCACTTAATTTTTACCTTAGTTTAGTGAAAATACAATATATATTATCTATCCTACATATAAAGGTTCTCCGAATTTTTATGTTGACCTATAGCTAGAAATAACAATAATAAAAAAAATCTGTAATAAAAGCTTCGGTTTAACTTTATGTAAAAAAAATGAATATGAATGAGGAATATTTAAATTTTGTATATAACCAAAGCAAAGTATCTTTTCTGGTTGTATATCCAAGCTCCCTACATGTGATATGTTATGAAAAAAAAAGTAATTTCTGAATAGAAAGAAAAAGAAATGTTGAGCATTTATTGAACTGTATTATTTTACAGGGACCTGGGCTGTTTGAAACGTCGAGACCCACAACCCACATGGACTTTCCCCCTTCTGGCATTATGGATCACATTCCATATCGGCACGCTGTGACGAACAGCATCATCCAAGCTGCTGCACCGAGTGACCTCCATGACTCACTCGTCACCGGATATCCTAGCATGAGGAGCAGGGGGCAAACACACCCCCAGGACAGCCCTGCCTCATTCTGAGTAGACAGACTGCTCTGACTTAGTGTACGCAGAGATCCTTTTAGCATCCTTGACTGGACCCAATCAGCACCTCCATTTCAGGGGAAAAGCCAGCCTGGGATTGGCTGAGGTGTCAGCATAGCCTTGCTCACACTGTGGCCGCTGTGTGGGTTTTCTAACAGTTTGAGACGTTCTGTGTGGGTTCTGAACCCACACATCCTGTCTGAAAATGTGCTGGTGATATGAAACCACCACACGATAATCAGGGCCGTTTGTGCAGCTTACAGGATTAATACTGGAAATCTATGGCTAAACAAGAAATCATTTCACATACTATACTGCTTATGTGTAAAAAAAAAATAAAATCCTTGTATTTTTCATGAAAATTTAACCACTCATATCCTTCCCTTGAAAACTGTACACACACCCCAATCTGGCATAATTCTTTGACAGCTACTGCATATTTTTGTAGTCTTTTTAAAAGTTCTTTGGCTTTTTACGGTGCTAGTAAAAAAACAAATCATCACCTTTCACATGTGAACATAACAGTTCTTACCTTTTCCCTTTTGGCCACTAATGATGACGTCATCCAGTTTGAGGTATTTCTCCTTGGCCTGGTACAGTGTGTTCTGGTCATAGCTCTCCATCCATTGGACCTTACCTTCTCCCCTGGCTTTCACCAAAAGCGTCTTGATCTTTGATTCCTTGGCGAGCACCACAGCGACACGCCCCGAGATCACGTCTCCGCATGTGAAGGTGTTATTCTCGTTTACTGCATCGTAAGTGATTGAAACGCTTTTCAGGGACGATGCCATCGCTACCAAAAGCTCACGGCGAGTCTGGAACTTCAGGGGAAGATGAACTGACTCCAGTAAAGCATCTCTCCTTGACTGGGTCGGTTGAATGACATGGTGCCTCTTTGCATACCACACGTCTGTGTCATCGTGCAGGTTGTCTCATTTTGAGACAGAGAGACACACCTTGTCACAGGAGACATCGGCGGCAAGTTTCATTTCCCATTTTACTTCGTTCTTTTGGGAGCAATCCTGTGGGTTACGGGGGGGGGGGGTCACATTAGATACGCATATGGAAATAGAGTGAACGGCCAACAAGGAAACCTGACTGACTGGTTTTGCAACAAAGAACTGTGGATGGGCGTAACACGTGCCACCCAGAACGCTAAAGCCGACCGTTTGCACAGCTCTTCGCCTTCATATGCTCATCATCCTCCATGACCAGGGGCGGATTAACTTATCTGGGCATACAGGCCAGACGGCGTCACGGACACCCAGCTGTTGCCAATTTAACCAACTCCTCCATTTTTCCCCGAGGCCCTGATGACTGCAGCCTAGGGTCTCCCCACCCCTTCAAACACAAAAAAGAATGAAACCTATCGCATAATGAACATGTCCACACAGGTCTCCTCACAAAGTATGAGCTGGTCTTATATTAGGTGGAAGTATGGCATGGATCCCACTCATATTTATCCCCTAACACATATGTAAAAAAGCTAGTATGTGGAAGTTAGAAACTGCATAGAAGTTTAACAATAAACCACAGTCATTGTTATATTCCTATAACTGATAACATTTACAGTCATATATTACCCAGCTATAATTATGAATGCATGCGTACGTATGGACATGCCTGATGCAACGTGTCAATCACTTTGTTGTGTTCTTTGTTGTGTACAAGCCTGAACAGCAGAGTTGAGACTTTCTTCATCTGCTAAAGTGAGCTTTTGATTAACTCTTTGTGTGAAAGAACGTAAGGATACTCATGACAGTGCCAGGGGCAGCTGGACCGCTGGCTTCCTGTCTTGCCCTATGTCACATATGGGCAACTTCACTGGTTCATAGCCCAAGCTGTGCTGCCCTCTGGGAGCGTCGGCATGAAGCAGATCCAGCTGTCGCTCAGCTCCGGGCCAGTGGATGCTGGCTGACAGCTTCTCATGCAGGTAGCTCCCGCTGCCTGCAAGCCTGACCAGCACGGGCCGCCTGTAAGCCTGACCAGCACGGGCCGCCTGTAAGCCTGACCAGCACGGGCCGCCTGCAAGCCTGACCAGCACGGGC